GAGTGCCTGGGACATTAAACAAGAGATTTCCCTTCTCCAGACTGTCAGATTCGGTCAGATTCATTTTGGTATCTGTATTGGCATAATATCTGGCATCTGCAAAGGCATGAAATCAATATATTTGAATGCAAAAATACATGAGTGAAAAGTGAGCGAATTAATCAGTGTATATTACCTGCACTGGAGGGTCTTAACCTTGTCTTCCCATATAAATCACCTGGGGAGCTTTTTAGACCACACAGTACCTAAGACCAGATTAACCAGGATCTCTAGGGATGAATCTGAGGCAAGAGTGTATTAAACTTCTGCGGGAAATTCCAGTGTACAGCCAATTAAGAACAGTGTGAGCAGCCATCCAGCCTTACTCATGACTGAGGCATCTCTCTGAATGAAGGAATTTCAGTGCTAAAACTGTCACTGTTCTAAGCAACCCAGGATGGTTCATCACTTGTGCTGATTCAAATTGTCACCCAGGACAATTCTTGAGTGATGTATTTTCAATTTTTGAAAAGCCAAAATTCACTGGCTTCATGTTCTGACATTTACCTAATTACATTCAGGCCTGTAGCTCACCTTGACCTCTTCCTCCACGGTCTCTTGCTCAAGCTTGTGCTATATTGTCTTGGGTAGCATACACATTTGTGACATATAAATGATGCAGGGAATGGCTAAACCATCACGGTATGTAAGCAACAACCAGTGGAACAACTACGAGAAGCAAAGTCTCTCTCTCTCTCTCTCTCTCTCTCTCTCTCCTTTCTCCCTCCCTCCCTCCCTCTGTATATGTGTGTGTGTCTCTCTCTCTGTACATCCCTCTCTCTCCCTCAAGATAAAAATTAAGTCAATATAAGCATTATTTAAAAAAGAAAAGAAACAGTGCAGATGATGCTGAAAGACGGGTCAGCCATTCAGAGCACTTACTGCTCTTGTATAGGACAAAGATTCAATTCCCGGCACCCGCATGGTGGCTCACAACCCTCTATAACTCCAGTTCTAAGGGATCTGGCACCCTCCTCTGACCTCCACAGGCACCAGGCAAGAACATGGTATATATACATACATGTAGGCAAAACACTCGTAGACATAAAACAAAATAAATAAATCTTTAAAAAAATTTTAGAGAAAACTACGTGGAAGATAGGTTCTTCGGAAAGCTAATACCAGACCTACCTTGTGATGTAGCTATCCAATGACCAGGTGTATCTCAAAAAGAAATGAAATCAGTACAACAAAGAAATACCTATACTCTTGTGTTTATTGCAGCAGCATTCACAATACTCAGGATATGGACTCAACACAGATTCTGTCACCAGATGAGTGGCTTAACAAAAAGTGATGTATTTATACAGAATGCAATATTATGCATCTAGAAAACCATGCCATTTGCAGCACCACAGATGCAACTGGAGGACAATGTGCTAAGTAAAAAACAATCAGGCATGCAATAGCAAATACTGCAAGTTCCTCTTAGATTTGGAAACTGAACATTGATACCACAGAAGTGGAGAGATAGACAGTGGGAGGGAAGAAGGGAGTGGGGGTGTGTAATGTATTCCGGTACAGTCGGCTAAGAACAGTAACTGCTGTAGCACTGTAGGAAAACTAGGGTTTACAACTGACTACATTTTTTAAAATAGATAAAATAGAGGGGATTTTGAATGGTCTTAATGCACACACACAAATGTTCTCTGTCTAATCTTATCTGTATAGACAGTGTCCCTGTGTCTATATGTCACACAATAGTCGATAAAAATACACTCACTGTGTCAATTAAAATTTAAAAATGTACTTTTAAAAGAGAGAAAATAAGAAGCAATTATAAAATGCCACCTTCCAAATGCCATTCCAGTGAACTCTCACTTTTTTTTCCTCTCCAACTTAGTAACATACGTTTTCACATATTTCAGTTACCTTGGCATAAGTTTGCAATCCTGGTTGCCATCTGAAAAAATAAATGGTTTTCTTAATGGAAAAATTCTCTGTGTAAATCAAATTAATAGACATTGTTTCAAAAGGTACTCAATTCACTCCAAGAATGTGGCATGCACAAAACCCATCAACTTGTGAACATCAGGGTCAGACTTGTGAAGGAAGTACAACTCAAAGCTCTCAAGAGCTCTGTCACTCAAGGAGTAGTTTCCAGAACAGGGACAGCAACATTTCCTGAGAGGCTGACAGAAATGCACAGACTCGGGGCTGGGATATACCTCAGTGTGGAGCACTCGCCTAGCCCTGGGCTCAGTCTTCTCTATCAAAAAAAAAAAGGAAATGCAAAACCTCAGGCTTTACTCCTGAACTCCTGAGTCAAATTGTGGAGGTGAGATGCAGGGTCTATAGGGCCATGCCAGTCTAGACACTCATGCACAAACTGGAGAAGTACTGAAAACAGTCCTCTGGTTAACACTGTCTACATAGATCACTTTGGTTTTGTTTGTTTTTGTATGTTTTCAATTAACTGATTTATTTATTTTTTATTTTTAAATTTAAATTTAAATTAGAAACAAGGCTGCTTCACATGTCAATTTCAGGTCCCTCTCCCTTTCTCTCCCCTCCTCCTGCGCCCTCCCACCAACTCCCCCAATATACCCTCATTTCCCCAGGGAGGGTGAGGCCCTCCATGGGGGTGTCCATAGACTCTCATTTCATCCAGGGCAGGGCCTAGACCCTCCCCCAAGAGTACAGGGTGAGAGTGCATCTCTCATTGTTGGGTGCCCAAAGTCCATTTGTATACCCGGGATAAATAATGATCTACTACCCAAGGCTCAATAGATTACCTAGGCCTCCTCACTGACACCCACATTCAGGGGGTCTTGATCTGTCCCATGCTGGATTCCCAGGCATCCGTCTGGGATTCAAGAGCTACCCCTTGTCAGGTCAGCTGTTTCTGGGGGTTAAACCAGCCCAGTCTTAACCTCTTTGCTCATCAGTCCTCCCTCTCTGTCACTGGATTTCTTGAGTTCAGCTCAGTGTTTAGCTGTGAACTGATTTATTTTTATTTTTATGTATGTTGGTGTTTTGCCTGTATGTTAGTCTGTGTGAGGGTATCAAATCCCCTGGAGGTAGTTACAAGCAGTTGTAAGCTGCCTTATAAGTAGTGGGAATTGAACCCAGGTTCTCCACTGAGTCATCTCTCTAGCACCATTCATTTGGTTTCAAGATGAGGCTCACCTTATAGCCTAGGCTGGCCTAGAACTCACAACATTTCTGTCCCAGTCTCTCAAGTGGTGGAATTATTGATTGAACCACCATGTCTAGAGGTTGCCTAAAAGAATCTCTCTCTCTCTCTCTCTCTCTCTCTCTCTCTCTCTCTCTCTCTCTCTCTCTCTCTCTCTCTCTCTCTCTCTCTCTCTCTCTCTCTCTCTCCCTGTCTGTGTGTGTGTCTGTGTGTTTGTGTGTGTGTATGTGTGTGTGTTCGTGTGCAAGCCAGAGGTCAGCACCACGTATCTTCCTCTAGTCCTCACCATCATCTTACTTTAGTCCCTACTGTGAGACAATGGCTCAGTGAACCTGGACCAGCAATTCAGCCAGACTGGCTGAGCAGCAAGCCCCAGGGATCCTCCTGTCTCTGCCACCCCACTACCCCAGCACTGGATTACAGGCACAAACCACCATTCCCAGTTTCCATGTCCCTTCTGGGCATGAATCTCAGGTCCCCATGCTCATTTAGCAAGCACTTTATATCTTCCCAGTCCTGTTTGCCTAATTCTTAGATCAATATTGCACAGTCCAGAAGAAAAAGGCGTGGAGTAGTCATGAAAAGAGGCAGGCATGTGGGCCACTAGTTCTCTGTCCCTGCTGCATATTGGAAACACCCGGGGGCTTTAGACAGCCTTCAAGCAATGTCACTGCATTGGTATGGGGTTTGGCATAGCGATAATGTAAAGATCTCCGAGTAATGCAGACAAGTGGCAACAGTGAGAATCACATACACTCATAGTGTGGTGAGTAGATAGCGGATCCTTGTATTGCTTCTGACCTTCCCTACTGGGCAGAATTCACTAGGACTGGCTCTGGTGGAATGTCACTGCACCATAATGAACGCTTCTGTTTATTCTGTTAGGAGCCGTGTGACATTTCCCTAGTGTCACTCTAGCATGTCTAGACTTGAGTATCTTCATGGGTCCAACTCAGATAGCAAGAGCCAATGTCCAGACATACCTGGGACATTCCTTATCACAACTTGTGGAAATCCCTAATAGTTTGCCAAACATAAGCTCAATTTTCAAATTCTCTGAGCCAAAGGAGGCTGTTTGCTCTTTTCCCTTCTCCTCTGCTAATAGGTGACTCAATAGAGTAAAGCTAAACCAGCATGCAGTGAGATCTCTTCCTCTACACACCAAGGATGTCAATAAAGTATGAAAAATAAAAAAAAAACCTTTTGGCATGTGTGAATTCACTTATATGATCCCATTTCAGTCTCACAGAATCTCGACTGAATAAAATGAGATAATCTTTCTGTTCCCATTTCAACGTTGTCAGGAGAGTGGCTTATAGAGGTCCCTGCTCACCCAGCCACAAGATGGACTGCCTGCTAGCCTGTACCTGTTCTCAGCTACACAAACACCTGCTGAGGGTTGCATGTGTAGACAGAATGCTTCATCTAGACTGCCTATCATCACATATCTTCTGTAGACATACGAATGGCACAGGTGGCTGTTGGGTACCGAAAAGCAGCCAATGGCAGACCTGTTATCCCAGCACTCAGGAAGACAAGCTGGGTGAACCCATTAGTTTAAGGCCAGGTTAAGCTACATATTGAGACCCTATCTCAAATAAATAAAGAAAAGAAAAGAAATCTGCAGTATACGGGAAAGCATACATGATAAAGAAGGACCCTCCCACAAAATGTTCAGTAGCAGAATGGAGTCACACAGCTCCTTAGTTTGCCCTTGGGGAAGAGGGATCGATGGAGGAGTGGCTGAGAGACTCTTCTTGACATGACTAACTACTGTTTCTCTTGCCCTCTGTTTTTTTTTCTTTCTTTCTACCACTTTTTACAGGAGCCAATGCATCAGCCCCAGACCAACTGAGCTTAGCTTTAGCCTGGAACAGAGTTGACATCGCTCGCAGCCAGATCTTTATTTACGGGCAACAGTGGCCGGTAGAGTATATACATCACTACCCATGAAAAGCTCACGTGCTTCGCCATGGTGTTTAAAGAACCTTTGAAAGGGTCTCAGAAAATTGGAGCCAGTAGGAAGGGGAGGAGAGATCTCCCTTTGCTTAGCACTGCATGTTTGGAGACATGCTGCCACCTAGTGGAAGATTTAACTAAGCCCACCACCAAACGTTCCCTGGCTCTTCTCAGCAATTTTCGGGTGCAAATTCTATCTTTTTATTTTAAAGATACAGATAAGACAAAATTAAAATAAAGGAAGGAGAGGATCGGTATGTTTCTGGTTATCTTTTAGGAGAGCAGAAGGAGGAAGCTGCTGCCGCCAAATGGTAGTGTTCATGCTGGTTTGCAACTGGGCCAGGCCTCTGTGTACTGGTACCATCTGGTCCTGGTGACTGAGCACAGGTCCGCCCTATGCCGGGCACAAGTGAACCAAAGCTTTATGTAACTGTCCGTGACTTTTTTCTGTCACTTGGCTGCCAAAAATAAGAACTCGGGAAATGGGCCATTGGGTGATGTGTTCACACACCCACGGGTGGCAGCCCAGCAGCAGCCTGTATTAAGGCTCCCCGAACCTTCCATCCCCAGGAGGTCTGGCCACAACTGAGCATCTGTCTTCATAGAGTTCAGAGACTGCTAGTTGGGGGTGTATTTGTCAAGGGATCTGAACGTTGAAAAAAATGAAAACTGTAAAATGAATATAAATCCCAGCCAGTGTTTCATCTAAGAAAGTAGGTTGTTCTTTTAGTTAAGTGGGCACAGTTTGTCTCTGGGGTGTCTATTTCTACACAGATTCCAGGCCTATTAGATCCTTGGCTCTGTTTACCTGGGTTCCCATCCTCGAGTCAACCAGGGCTCACATTCAGAACCTAAGGAAGAAGAAAACGAAGGGAGGGAAGTGTCTAGCTTTACCTCTACAGGCATTGCGGAAAACTAGCCAGGGAATTAATCGTCAGGAGGAAAACCTGGGGTCCCAAGGCTCCACAGCATACAAGGGGGTGGAGGTAGCGTCTAGATCCGGAAGTCCTTGACGTCTGTTTCCCAAGATTTGAGACGAGGGGACCAGGAGTATCACATGGAGGGGGAGGGGGAGAGCAAGGTGCTGGGTCTCTAGGGCATATCTGGAGATTTACACATCTCCCCAATCTGTTTCAAGCCCTCTCCGTGAGCACCGAGGAAGTGCACTTCTCTGCTGGGGGCAGACTAACTGAATGTCTTGAATTGCAGGTAGGGTCCCTGGAGCAAGCCATGCTGGATGCCCTGGTTCTGGACAGAGTGGATTTTGTGAAATTGCTCATAGAGAATGGAGTAAGCATGCATCGTTTTCTCACCATCTCCAGACTAGAGGAACTGTACAACACGGTAGGGCCAAGCTAAGATGCCTTCCAGCCTCTGTTTTGTTTTGTTTTGTTTTTCTTCTCTTGGTTTTCCTTCTCCTGCCTTGCCCCCATGCCTGCGGTTCTTTTCCTGACTCTCCTGTAATGCATGGATCATTCCTCACATGCACTCCCCTACATGTGAATAGCCAACAGACACCAAGTCACCAGGACGTCACTTGTTTTAACTGCTCAGTTGTCAGCATCTTAGACAAAGGGGGATGTGATCACCCCGGGGCCTTGTTCTCAGATTCTAACACAAAACCACCAGCAAGTCTCTGTCAATCAGAACACATGTACTGTGCAAGCCTGGGGATGTGTGAGACAAATATTACAGAGGAGGCTTGGTTTAGCACCAAGTACCAAAGCAGACTGATTAAGTGTCTCATATCATTTTTTCATCCTCAGAGCAATGAAGTTCATTTTTCCCACAACAGTATACAATATCTTGGAGTCGTCCAAACATGTTTTTTTTTCCAAACGTGTTTTGTGGTGGTCGTTGCTCTTTGCAGCAGCATTCACCAAAAGAGCCAACAAAATTTAAAGAACTGATGCTGTTTTTTACTATTTCACAGATGAAAATACTGAGGCAGTCTTAGTCTATTTGTGCTGCTACTATGGAATACTTTCTCACAGTGCTGGAGGTTGGAAGTCAAGATCAAGGGACCAATAGGTTCATTATGTAGTGAGAGTCAGTCTCTCTTCCCAGAATGTATCCACTGCAAGGGACAAACCTACCGTCCTCTTAAGGCAGAAAGGTTGGAAGTATGAAAGTGTGAACCCTCTCCTGTCTAGACCTCAATTCCACTTACAAAGTAGATACCCTTGTGGCCTTCACCTAACAGCCCCGCCTCTCCATGCTTCTGTACTGACATGAAGTTCAACATGAATTGTGTAGAATCACAGAGGTGTAAAGCATAGACAGGGGCTAAGAAGTAGCTTATTGAAAGCCCCACATCCCTAAACACAACAAAAAGAACCCGGTACCAAACTCAAGCCTCTTCTCAGAAGTTTTCTTTCCATGCACTGGCCACAATATTTGTCCCAGCACCGTGAGTGCAATGGGACAGAGCTATGGACTGTCCTTCAACAAGAGGTAGGTGATAGATAATAGCATCATGCCTCATCTCAACCCCACCAGAGGAAGGAAGCCAGCTGGCAAAGTGGATTAAGGTTCCTGCTTTCTCTGCAGGCGTGCCTTGCCTCAACACACTGAGATTTACTTTCAGAAATAAATACACGTGGCATCATGACTTAGGTATCAGAGAGTGATGATGGTGGAAAGGGTCATTCCAAATCCTAAAAAGGACAGAAAGATTGAAAGAACCCTTTTCCTGGACCAACAGGCTTCATTACTCCAATCGACTGGTGATGGTCACCTGCAGTATCATATTGATAAAAATTATGAGGCAGCAAATGGAAACAACAATAATAATGACATCGATCACTTACTGAATGCCAAGCACTATTTAATAGCTTTATAAAGAAGTATGGCATCATTTAATCCTCAGATATCCCTATCAAATTAAGTGGTGTTATTCTCTTCATTGTAAAGAGGAGTGACTGCATCACAGCAAACTCTGTGGTGCCTGTTTGCACAATCAGGGCTAGGGTCGAGAACCTCAGCCCCAGAGTATCATTACTGTTTTAGAACTTCCAATCATGTTGCCAGATTTAGCAAGTAACTGCAGCACACCAGCAACATTCCTGTTTCAGATAAGCAATGATTGTTAGCATAAATACGGTTGTTTATATCTTCATAGGATTCATTCTAGGAGTTACCACAGAAGAAAAAATACCTTAGGATGATCAACTTCCTTATCTAGATGACATCAGATTTGCATAGACTCAGCACACATCACCAGATATATATATATATATGTATATTTTTTAAGGAGCCTCTTTCTGGAAGCTAAATAAAGCAGCTAAACCAGGAACTTTGCACTCTCATGTACAATACCCAATTCAAGGTAAATAGCTTCTAAGTCATTGTTTCTCAACCTGTGGGTCATGACCCCTATTGGGGTTTCATATCAGATATTTACATTATGAATAATAACAGTAGCAAAATTACAGTTATAAAGTAACAAAAAAATAATTTTATGGCTTGGAGTCACCACAACATGAAAAACTGTATTAAAGGGTCATAGCATTAGGGAAGTTGAGAACCACTATTCTAAAGAATACTAAGAAAAATACCAGTACATATTCAATACACACATAATTTCCCCCAAATAATTTCAATCCAGTTGGAGAACTTCAAAAATACAGACACCATGAGTATGGAGGCCTGACTGTATATTCTTAATATTGCATGAGGCATCATTGCTCATCTGAAATTCAAATTAGATTGGGTATTCTGTACTTTACTTAGCATCCCTACTCCTGAAAGACCACAGAATAACAAATCACTTACTGTATTCTAAGCTTCAATGAATGTATACCCTTTCCTGACCTTTTTTTCCCTGGCTATCTTAAGTCAGATGTCAGGGAGCTATCACCAAAATATAAAGCCAGTTCACTATTTCTGTACAGCCTGGGAGCCAAGAATGACTTTCTTTTATATTTAATGGTTGAAACAACCAAAGGAAGCCACAATATAACATGCTTAAATTTATGAAATCTGGCCAGATGTAGTATATCAGCTATGTGTAATCCCAGAACTCAGAAGGCTGAGGCAGGAAGCCTGTGGTTTGAGATTATACAGAAAAACCCTCTCCTAAAAACGATATATAAAATTTGACTTTCTGTGACTATGAATAAAGTTTTATTGAAACATAGCCAACGTCACTTATTTGTGTATAGCTTGTAGCTGCTTTCATATAGTAATAACAGCTAAACAGACTTGAGAAAGACTGAATAGTCTGCAAGTATTCACTACTGACTTTCTGACCTTTTGCAAAGAAAGTTGGCTAATGCTTTTTAGGGATAAGTTTTTGATGACAACTTGGAAAACTACATTGGATAAAATTAAGAAGTTTTTACAGCAGTGTGTCAAAATCCCCTCTGCTTTGTCTTGCTGTAAAACTAGCTCTTTCTACAACATTTGGCCCTGGTATCTCTCAGCTGACAATCAGCCTTACAATGCTTGAACCTACAACTTCAAACACATTTTTCCATGATCCGAAATCCAGCCAGTCTTGGTTTCAAAGTAACAGACACAACTGAGCAACTAGAACAAGGCCCAGCGCAAAGAGCTGCCCTCCACCAGCCAGAACCCTTCCTTCCAGCTCCCTCTTGCCTCACCACCCGGAGCCCCTGACAAGCAAAGCTGTTTGATTGTTCTTTATCATTTTCAGAGACATGGGCCCTCAAATACATTGTACCACTTGGTCAGGGATGTCAAAAAGGTAAGAATCCTCTAGACCACAGGTCAGAGGCCCTGTGCTGAGTGCTTCCTGTGATAGACTGTACCTGTTATGCATGAGCTGCCCCGTCTCCATGTCCCTGCCAGCCCCACATCATTGCAGAGTGGTGTATGTGCATCTGCTTTGTAGCTTGGACAGTTCTGCTGACAATGCTGCTATGGTCCTTCCTCTGGTTGCCATGGATTTAGATGCTTTCATTGAATGTAATGCTTTTCTATAGCAGATTCTAGGCTTTCTCTTGTGCCAGCGTGGATTTATGTCATTATTTATGTCTTTCCAAACGCCCCTTACTGTTGGGGAGTTAGTTTCCATGGTAGCTGACCACATGAAGTGCCTTCCTGCCAGCGCCTCACAACAGCCTATCTACCTTCATATAAAGTACAGTCAGAAGCTAAACAAAGGGGACTCCACTATGCATTCCAGCCTCCTAACACTTTATTTTTCCAAAATTTATTTCATGCCCATCTATTCATTTGATTTTTTAAAGCTAGTGGGTTATTCACAATTTATGGAGGAGGTTGAAGCGTAAGGATGTGATGACTATACTCAGTGATTAGTAACCTGCTAACATCACCACAGATCTTTTATCAAGGAAAAGCAGCAAGGCTTGCTGGTGATGGGCACACAGTATTACATAAGCTTTTTACATACCTGAATTCATTTACTCTTCATAAACAATGTCTGAAGTAGGAGTATAACGTCTTTATTACTGCTGCATAATACTCTCATTTAAGTTGAACATAGGAAGGTTATGTTTAACCTCAGATGTACTTGCTCCTTTCCCCCAAACAGTCTCTTTTAAGAGTAGCTTGACTTCAGAACCTTTAACTCCAAAGAACAAAACAGAAGCTGTAGACCCTCCCCACCTCATAGGAATGCTACAGTACTACACCAGAACCCAAGGACATACGTAGAGAAATGACCTGGAAGAGCAGCTTGATATTCAGTGCCAGGTTCCAGAGAGGGAGTACCACAGAATCTGAAAATAAAAAACCTAGGAAAGTTGGGATCAAGAAATCTTGCACAAGCTATGTCAAATGCCAAGAAAGCTTATTGAGAAGTACAGCACTTTATATACAATGTGTGTAAAATCAATGAGAGAGTCAGCAGAAACCTATCCCATAATGGGACAGAGTCAGGAAGAAGCTGATCAAGCAATGCTGCCCAAAGGGAACAGGGGCTAATTCAAATGCACCACGGCTCGACAGCCTCGACTGATCATCACAGCCCTTCAAGTGGGGTTTTCCCAGGATCAGAAACCTCAGTTCTCCCAGAGTCCTGGCCCCAGGTCATTGCTGGTCTTGCTAAGCACGTTCCCGGTTTTAGACAAGGAACTAAGTTCCTTCTCCATACATCAGGGCCTCAGAGAAAATCCTGGGCTGGTTTGATTCTCAACTGAGAATGAAAAGAACTGGACAAGTTATCATCTCATAGAAAGTCTCAACTAGACGACCCTTAGTGAATTGTAAGCAACTTCTGATATTGTCTTCAAAGTGCTGGAGGCTCTGAGAGCTGCTTAGAATTGGCCTATTTTAACCTGCTGGACATTGGTTAGGAATAAGTAAAGGATGTAAGAACAAAAACAAAATCCACGTCCACCTAAAAACACTGCTTTTTTTCTTACTACTACAAACCTTCCTTCCATCTCCACACAATAATGAAGGGTGTCCAGCTTTGTGAGCAAAGCCTGCAGCTCTCAACGTCAAGAGAAGCAGACCCTGTGCGGCTCCTTCACCCAAATCACTACTTCAGTGAGATCCGACTTTTCCTCAGTCCGGCCCATTCCAAACCAACGTGGCATCTGTTTCTCCAGCAAGCCCATTTCCTTCACACATTCTCCTTTTGCTTAATTTATCCTGATTTAAATTTTTCTGGAAACTAATCTCGGGTGATTAGGGTCCCACATACCCAACATAGTCTTTGCTAAACTTTAGCACTCATGTTCTATAAATTATTTTTGAACATTTATAAAATAATAACTATGACAGCATTTCCTCATGTCAGACTAGCCTGTGTCCAGCTAGAATATGGGGCTTTCTGATAATGTAGCTAGGCTTTGGTCCAAGATCCCAGCCCTCAGCTAACCCCAGCAATGGAAAAGTCGCATACTGACTTTCCCAGCCCCCTTTCCCAGCCATAAGGTCTTGCCTGATTTTCACGATTTTTGAAGTTACAGTTGCGTGAGTAGAAATTATCAAGACCTCTCATATTAGCCTCTCCTCTCCATAGATTCCCGCTTTGCATGACCACTATCCATTAGCTGAGGGTCCTTGAGCTGCCTCTTGCATTTGTTCACATTGTGAGTCTTCTTAGAAGGCATGCAGTGCATCCTTGGGGTACTTTTTCCCCTTTCTCAAAGCGTCTTAGCTGGTAATGGGCCTTGAAAGCAATAGAGATTAATAAGAAAAGGGTGTTAAGAATGTGGAAGGAAGACCTGCAAGCTCAGAGCATGCCTTTAAGAGTGACAGGAATAATAGAGCCAGAGAGGATAGTTATGTGAGCATTCACTTACTTGGGAACTGTGGAAGATGACTTTAAATTCACCCAGAATAGCACCTAGAAACAGTTTCTCTTTACTCAGAGAGCAGACTGCTAGTAAGGGGAGGGAAAAGATAATGCCTGTGTTTAGTTTCTTCTCCTAGAAAAAGTAGACACAGGGAATGAAGAGTTGTCTCTCTGATAAGAGAAATCTCTGGCTATTGGAGGGAATGAAGGAATAGCCTTCCCACCTGCAAAGGAACCAGATTTACCAACAGTTTGTATTCATGGGTGAAATGAACTTACAATGGGACTCTTTGTTGTATGTTTCTTAAAGAAATTAAAATGTGGAGCAAATTTCTTCCATGGTCCCGTATGACTTTTTTCTAATTTAAGAGAAGTACTTACTCAGGAGATACAAAATCTAGGTTTAAAATGTTAAGAATGTCTTGGGACATTTAATTTTTAAAATTAAAGAATATAATAAGTAGTAGGTGCCTCCTTCCTTACCAGATGTATGTATGTATGTGTATATATGTATATGTATATATATATTATTCTGTGAAAGTTGTAACCAGTAGTCATAATATAATACATATACACAGATATGTACATGAGTTAGAAGTATAGTTCTGTACCTTAAACATAGCATTTACTGAGATGTCTCTAAATTAAATATAGATGATGCCTACAAACCCAAGGATACATTTCATAATTATCAGATTCCCATAGGCCAATTAAGTCATCTCCAAGCCCTGCTGTTCTTTGAAACCAACAGAAATGAGTGAGGAGAAATGTTTCCATGCTACTCTCAAGATCTCAAATTCTTTTATATCTAAAGAACAAGTTACAAGCAGTGTCTAAAGAATTTCTATTCTCCATTCAGTAGAAATTTGAACTGATACAAGCCAAACCAATTCAGGGAAGCAGTTTCATGCATAAATCCATTAACTATACTCATGGCTTTCCTATTAAACTAGTGGCTCAAGTCTGTCTGCACCTCTGTAAAATATAACCTGCCGTTCTAGTAGCTGTCTGCTCAATCTGTGGCTCCGGATGTTTCAAGCAGTGGTTTCTCCTTCTTCAATTAAATGTGCTAATACTTCAGATTATCTGTTCTGTCCTTCACCACCAGAGGAGGGTGATTCAAGTAGAATACAGAAGTTAAGGTTTAAAGTTCATTTACATGGGAACTAAGACCCAGTTTTGCTGAATACAAAAGACAGGAAGAAATATGGAAGGAGGGAGGGAGGGAGGGAGAGAGGGATGGAGGGACGGGGAGAGAGAGAGAGAGAGAGGGAGAGAGAGAGACAGAGAGAGAGAGGGGGAAGGAGGGAGGGAGGGAGGGAGGGAGGGAAACATGGAGGGAAGTGAAGGAGGGAAGGAAGGAAGAGATGAAGGGAAATGAAGGGTTTTTGAAACGTTGGGTAAGGAACGGGGATTTTCATAAGTCCATATGATAAATTCATGCAAATTTGTAGGAGCATTCTTATTTTTTTATTGTGAGCCTAGCCTTTAATGGCTGTGCTATCCTTCCAGTCCACATTCTTATTTTTAAAATAATATATTGCCTGGTTTTTTACTTTGCTAGTCTACTAAACCATGGGTAACCTCCTTTCTTCCCGAGTGCTACCCCAGACTGAGCCCCACCCAGTGACAGTTTTTCCCCCATCAAGCCTGTCCCCCAAGTCTCTTCTACACTCTCCTTTGGTGAACCTGAAAATCAGCAATCATTTGAGACTTTCCACACCCCAGAGGAAACAAGTCTGTTTTCAAGGCTTGTTATGAGTTTCAAAGGAAAAAAAAATCCAATGTTCCTAAAAAGCTCAAATCAGACAGCCATATCATGAGCTGACACCTAAGGACAGTTCATTTTGAAGAGAAGATTCAACCTGTGAGTTTGAACTGCTCTGGAGGACATCTTTAAGCATGGCATGACTTAAATTTTACCTTCAAGTAACAGTTCATAGCATGAAGACAACGTTTTCAAGTTGTCAACCTGCCTCCCGATCCTCTCTACTAAATAACTTGACTCTCGGGACCTACCCTGTGTTGTTAAGGCATGAAATGGGAAATCATCCTTGAGGCTTTGCCCATTACTGAAGTCATGATCCATAGGGTGGGAACAGGACTAGGAACAGCAGACAGAATAAGAATAACTCTGGTATCATTTTCTTGAATTCCAATTTGGAAAGATCCAAAGCAAAGTAAGACTCCTCCAGAAGGCTGTTGTCACAACCTGTCGGGCATTCAAGGTGCCACTCACCCTCTCTGCCTCCTCCAGAGCAGGTGAAGTGAGAGCACAGGTCCATCCAAATCAGTTCCTTGACCACCCCAACCCCACACACCAAACTCCAGGGGACACCAACTTTGATGGAGTAGAAAATAAAAGCAGTGGATGGGTGCTGATTAACAGTCGGGCTTCTAGAAACAGGTGGGGCCTGAGAAGTAATGACCAAGGTCACCTGATTTAGAACATAAAGTGAGAGACAGAAAAGCATACAGAGTAACAAGTGGTTGCACTAACAGAGTCCAGCCCAGTACTGGTTGCCCTGGGAACTCATTTCTCCAGTCTTTCTTAGCATGAATACCTGCAACTCCACTTCTGCCCAACAATTATGTCCTAAGATAAGCATATAGATGCTTTGTCATTGATGTGCGCAGACCACACCAAGTCAAGGCCATCATCCTCATCATGCAGCAAGGCTGCCATTTCCCTTACAATCTACCCACAGTTAGCCCAACCAGGGGTGACAAAGAGAGTGTAGCTACTCAATTTTGTTACTGATAACAAAACACAAAAAACCCAACCCAGGATGAATCCCAGACATGCCAATTAATTTCATTGTTTCATTGATATATATTTTCAGCAGCAAAAATCCCAAGAACCAACCACACCCCACATGTTATAAAAGGCATAGGAAGTATAGAGATTAAAAATTGCAAGAAAAATTTAAAACTATAGGTTTAATGACAGGCTACATTGAGGCCTCCTTTAACCAGTTAAATGGATTTCCTACTGACAGGGATTCCCATATCACACTCTCAGATCCCTAGGTGGACTGCCATTGCCACCTGAGCCTTAGGTGGTAGAGAAGAGCTTCCACAAACCCAGGCTTGCATCAGAAGCCACCCAGAGAAGGGAATGAGTCACACAGATACTCAGCACACTAGAAGACCACATAGTCACCAAATTCCCCACAGTGCATGTGATATAAGCCATCACTGGCAGAGGATGCTGCCCTGCATCTGGAATTAAGCTAGGCAGTGAGAGCTGCCAGTCATCCATGCCCTCTGGAATTCATTCACTATGCATCCCTTCTTCCTTGACTTAACAGAGTGGAAAGTCTCCTTGGGTTCAAAGAGTCTTCTTTTGAACCATCTTTATAAACAAACCCCTGTGTTCCAGCTCTGGAACCAGCACTCAAAAGAAAAAAAATTGTAATAAAAGCTAAAAGATACACCATACTTCTGGGTCTTTAAGAAATGCTACTCTGGCTAGAGATGTGTCTTAGTGTTAAATGCTTACAGAGTATGTATAAAGTCCTGGGTTTCATCCTAACACTGTGCCCTCCCCCCCAACCAAACAAAGGTATTTTGCAGCAAAAGGTGACAAAACCACCTTAATTTTGTGAAAGTTTTCATGCCAATGTTAAAACTGCTTCTCCTGTTACACTTACACACACACACACACACACACACACACACACACACCCTTTAACCACAAGAGTCACTCATAGAGCTCCATTGTGACACTATGAAATACCATCCCTGATCTGTTATTTATTGGGGGCTGAGGGAAGGCCAGTGTATGTGACCAACTAACAGAGGTCTTCTATTCAAGTAGAATTCATCTCTAAGTGGTCCCTGCCCAGGTAGTGACACTCATCTTCTAAGAGGAGTCTTCCTTTGGCGAGTGAGGAGAAAACAAAGGGCCTCCAAGAGGCAGCCTGGGTCAGAAAGGGGCTCAGGAGCATCAAGGGACCCCGCATCTAGAAGCTGGGAATGATAGTCCTTGCCTTGTCTAGCCTGTGTTTCTTTCTGCTACACTGGTGTTTTTTTCTCCCCAGCTGAAGACTTGAATAAATAATTTGATTTTCTGTTATTGCCGGCGATTACCGCATCTTCTTATTTAACTTATGTCTTCTTTCCAAGCGAGAGTATCCAGGTTTCGGTTGGATCTATTTTAAGGTGAATTAATTAACCAGCATAATAATACATTCATGTTTCTGTTTTCATTATAATTTTTACTCTAAAATAGTTACAGAACACTTGCCAATGAACCCCTAGTAAACCACGCCGTGTTTTTGGGTTTGTCTGTTGTTCCCTTCGTCCCTAACAGGGAAACCTGCCCCCGGACTACAGAATCAGTCTCATAGACATTGGCCTGGTGATTGAGTACCTGATGGGAGGGGCTTACCGCTGCAACTACACGCGCAAGCGCTTCCGGACCCTGTACCACAATCTGTTTGGCCCCAAAAGGGTGAGCTTCTAGCATGTTCTTAGTCTGTTGGAGAAGACTAGGGACGAGAGATTTGGGATATGGCTTCTGTCTCCAAGGGAAAACGAACTGAAAAGACAGAAAGTACACCTCCCTCTTTTTCCATCCAAACTACTGAAATTTATTATTGAATTTAAAATACTGGCCAAACAAATCCTATCTGTTGTTTTCCTTGAGGTGTCAGTCCCACTTTGGTCATCCTAAACATGTCTATCTAGTATTGCAGCTTAAATAACTACAGTCTCTCTGCTAGTCTTTCCTTCAACTAAAAATGATCTTCCGTCGGAGGGGGCAAGCTTTTTCTTTTTCTTTTTTTTCTTTCTATCTTGCATTTTTATGTCTGCAATTCAATTCCATCAAAGACCTGTGCTTTTCCTCGGGAATCATTGGGTCAGTCTAGCAAAGGTGGTCCAGGCAGCGACATACGGCTTCCACTTCGTATATCCCACAGGCTGGTAATAGGGCATGTCTAGAACGTGTTCTCATGGGTTGCTTTGGCCAACGACTACAATGTTTACATCTTGAGGATATTCTTAAGAGAAGCTGTTTTGCGCTTTTGCTGGTCAGTTGTTTGGTTTGTCGGTGCTCGGTTGGTTCGTTTTATACCCAGCAGTGGGATCTCAAGAGGACAGCAAGCAAGCTACTCGATCGCATTTGTTCCTGTCAAGCTTAGGCTCCCACAGCTTTCATGACCACAGTGGAATCTCAAAGGCATGTTATTACTAGAAATATAGCTTAGGCTTCACTCCCTGAGGGGCTGGGGGACCCTTAGAACCCCAAAATGACATCCCAAGTGCTGCTGTCTGTGCTGGTAGTAAGCATGCTATTTCTTTTTTTATTCTCTCTTTTTTTAAAGTGTCTATGGTTTTCTTAATGTTTGGGTTTTTTATTTTCCCTTTATTCTATGTAGTTTGTTTCTCTGGGGACTGTGTGTTTGTTTGTGTTGTTTTTAACAAAGTTTTCCACTGATGAAAGTATTTTGTGGGGCTACTAGAAAACCAGGAGAGGGGGAACAAAAAGTTTGATACAGACAAAATGTTTAGACTTGTGGTCATTTTAGAAGCTAAAGAGAAAAGGGGGAGACAGCTTCAAGCTACTCAAACTTACATAATCACATCTAATTTGCAGGAACTGTCAGCTCGTAATTCTTATGTCCCCAGTATCTTCCAAAGTGACACCCACTGCACTGAAGCGCTCACAACACGGAAACGGTACTCCTGGCCTACAGGCGTAACTTTGTTCTCCCATTCTTAAACACAAAGCAAGTTCTATACTCCAGAGTGGCCTTCAGTTGTGTCCATTTTACACAGTCCCAGCATGGCCAAGGAAGCCACTCCCTGTGTGGTGATGTTCTCCATGCCACTGAGCAGCTTACGCCACCATCAGCACCTGCTCCGGCCCACACACCCTTGCTCTACTGTGCAGCACTGGAAGTGTCTAAACAAACATTTTAAGTTGTACCCAAGTCACTGCATAGTAGAAGTTTTCCAGAGGTTTCAGGAATATCTGGTTTGATCGCCTGATTGTCTCATTTTTCATCTGTCTTCTCTGCTCAGACTGCTGTATCAAAATACTATAGGCTAAGGGGCTTAGAAACAACATCAACGTATATCTCTCACAGCTCTAAGTTCAAGAACAGGGTACCAGCAGACTGGGTATATGCAGAGGGCCTGTTTTCTGCTTCGCAGGTGGCACTTTCTGGTTGTGTCTTCACGTGGTAAAAAGCAAATGAGCTCCCAGCAGCCTTTTGATAAGAATTTAGCTTTCTCTCAGGTGTCTTCTGTCATGACCTAACAGTCTTCCCCAAATACCCACCTCAATACCAACACCTTCTCAGTTAGAAGAGTGAGGAGGAAAACATTCATGCCATTATGTTTATTCAAGTGCTGAATGTCCTGGAGGTGCCAATCAAGTAAGATGGTTATAGAAGGGAAAGAAACTTTGACCCACAAAAGTCATTATAAGCCTTCAATTATATCTCTTCAGTTTCCTAATTCCCTATGGTTCCCCAAAATCACAACATCCCTAATTCTCCTAATTTAAAAAAAAATAAAAATCATGTTCCTTTTATTGTGTTTACTCAGTGACATAAAATTAATGCTATATGGTACTGTAGAGTTCTTATATTACTTATTTGCAATATAGTAGAATTCGTTTCTTACCTCAATGAAAGAAAGATCTAACTTTGTTCACAACATTTTTTTAAACAGCCCAAAGCCTTGAAACTGCTGGGAATGGAGGTTAGTGTTTGCTCAAATTATTAGTGTCGATTATTCTCTTTCTCACATATTTAAAAGATATATGAGTTCATTTTAATAGTAAGGCTTAGTGCATGATTCTAAAATAAGTAAACAAAGATTTTCCAAGTGCCATGGTGGCAGCTCACAGTAGCTTTTAAAATTCCACAATGAATTTATGTTAGCACTGGGGGAAAACAAAAATAAATCCTAGGATAAATACTAACTTGAAAACAGTGTATAAACTCCATAGGCAAAATCAATTTCAAATATTTACCAACAGCAATAGATCCAAAGGATTTCACAGATGCATCTAGTAGGGTTGTAAAAATTTGAGCAGTTTTGTTTCCATCTTTGGTTCATTGTTGATTGTTGTTATGTGAAAACACAAGTATAGAGTACCCTTGATTTTTCAGAAAAAAAATAAGAAAAAGAAACATAGTAATGCTGTCTATCATGAGATATAGACAGCCACACCTATGGAAGAAGAAATGGACAAAAATAAACAAGAAAGAAAGAAAGAGAGAGAGAGAGATGGAGAGAGACAGAGAGAGACAGAGAGAGACAGAGAAAGAAAAGCCTATGAAAATATGTTTGGAATTTTTGAGACAGACTCTCATTATGTAGCCCAGCCTGGCCTCGAACCCTCCATCCTCCTGTTTCTGACTCCAAGGTGTTGCTGGGATTTTAGGGATTCACCACCATGCCCAGCTTAGAAAATGTTTTGTTTTGTTTAAAGTAAAGTATAAACTGACATATCGGTTGTTAAGTATGCATTTATTAAGTCTTATTGTTAAATTAGCCTGAATGAGCTTGGGAGTGTTTTTGGGATAAGAAGTGGCCTGGTTCATTTCAGTGAGATTGAGAGCTGGGCCATTGGAAGGTATACATAATGAATGTAAAGAATTAATCTGATACACTTTCAACTCAACTTTTGTTTGTTTCTCTAAAATTACAGGATGACATTCCCTTGAGGAGAGGAAGAAAGACAACCAAGAAGCGTGAAGAAGAGGTAGACATTGACCTGGATGACCCTGAGATCAACCACTTCCCATTCCCCTTCCATGAGCTGATGGTGTGGGCTGTCCTCATGAAGAGGCAGAAGATGGCCCTGTTCTTCTGGCAGCATGGAGAGGAGGCCATGGCCAAGGCCTTGGTGGCCTGCAAGCTCTGCAAAGCCATGGCTCATGAGGCCTCTGAGAATGACATGGTTGATGACATTTCCCAGGAGCTGAACCACAACTCCAGGTTGGCCAGCCACTCATGGGGAGGGAGGGGGTAGAGAAGGAAAGGTAGACAGAAGTTTGGGGCTCCCCAAAACCTTATAGGGTAACAGAGCCACCCCACTAGGGTACACAGAGGGAAGGCATGAGTTATTTACCCTTACTGTGCACAATGTTGTATAGAGATACAGAGAGATTACACTTATTTCATTCATTTGCTCAGCTGCCCCAAACAGCAAGTCCTAACATCATGCACTTCATCTAACTAAGGACATCATCTCAGAGAATTTAAGTACTTTGGCCAAGACCATACATGGTTGGCAAGAATAGGGCTTGAACTTGAGTTCTGACACATTTAGTAAGACACATTACACTCTAATGATGGGTTGATTGTTCTGCCTCTACCTTCAAATGCCATGAATCAGGAGTCTTGAGTGCAGGAATCATGCTTTGACTTAACATCTTCAGTTCTAGACATGGTACCTAACACATAGCAAATACTTAAAGGATGTTGACTGGGTGACTTTATGAGTAAACTAGACCTTACATGAAATAACTACTCCACACAGCAAGTTACCTTTTATAATTGAACAGTGGGGCCCATCTTTGTTCATGTACATATCCAAGTTGGTCTGAAAGACTATCCTGCGCCTTGCCTTTCAGGGACTTTGGCCAGCTGGCTGTGGAACTCTTGGACCAATCCTACAAACAAGATGAGCAGCTGGCTATGAAACTGCTAACATATGAGTTGAAGAACTGGAGCAATGCCACATGCCTGCAGCTGGCTGTGGCTGCCAAGCACCGTGACTTCATTGCACATACGTGCAGCCAAATGTTACTTACCGATATGTGGATGGGCAGGCTCCGCATGCGCAAGAACTCAGGCCTCAAGGTCAGCATACCCAAAAAAGATCTGTTGCCATAGAGTCCACGGGTTGGTTGAAGTTTTCCAAATCAAATCTATAATGGGTCTAGGAGTTGTCTTACATTAGGAGGTGATGCTAACCCATCACTATTCCTTAGAATGTCCTTAGAGATGAGGTTTTCATTTTGAATCAAGGATTTGAACTTGGGATCTGACACATTTAAGAAGGCATGCACATACACTCTAGTCATTGATTGCTTTTTCTGCCTCTACCCCATTCTCAAGGGCAGATCTTAAGGCCTGCTAAAACAGAATCTGTTCACAGATCCAATGATACAGAGTACACATAGTTCCCATAGGGCACCGTATACTCATGCACAGCCATGCTACCATAGGAATCTCACCTAAGCCACCCTTCATGCCCTGTGAGGCTGAATATCCTCCTGGTCCCATCCAGGCTGTCCTTGCATTGCATCATAGCATAGAAACATGGGCTCTGATAACATGGACTGAGAAACTTCAACTGAACTAAAATTGAGATAGATCTGTATATCAAGACATTACTCACTTAAAGAAAAAAGTTTGAAATCAAACCCAGAACCTCACACATGACAGTGACTTATATCCCTAGTCCCTGAGCTATTCTCAAATGAGGAAAAGTAAGTCATGGGCCAGTCGACACAACATAAGGCCATTTTAAAAGGACATATAGTGATAGCTATATAAATTAATTAAGGAAAACCAAGAGGAGCACATGTAGTTCGTTGTTTGTAGTAGTTCTCTCAGGTATTGAACAGACCATGTATGGTACTTGTTCTGAAGAACAGAAAGTGGGGTTGAAGCTTTCGCCTTATTTGTTTACAGTTTTGGGGAAGATCTCAGGGCCCTACATGTACCAGACGAGGTCTCAGCCTTTGAGCTAAACACTCAGCCCACTTTTTGCTTCCTCTAGTTCTTTTTAGTGATTTTCAAGGAAAACATCAAGGTGAAAGAATTTGTTTAAAAGAGAGAGTGAGACAACAGAGAAATGATCAAGAGAAAAATGGAAGAGTGTTTGTTTGTTTTAATTTTCATGATGCCAGTTTTTAGTTATATATATTTAAGATACCAATATGATGCTTTAACATGCACAGTGAAACAACTACCAGGGTCAAGCAAATTGGCGTATTCATCATTTTGCAGTTACCCTTTTTCGCATGTGGTAAGATTGGCTAAAATCTACTCTCTTAACAAATTGCTAGTATACAGTATGGCATCATGACCATGTTACTCATGAGCTGCTTAAGCTCTTTAGACTCACAGCACAGTTTTGCATCTTGCCCTCTTTGACTGTTGTTTTACTGGACCAGCATTGCTTGTCCCACTCCACCTTTCTTGTGGGCTCTTGGTCCAAAGTTACAAAAATGGTTTTATAAAGAGGGTCATTACTACATTCCAGAGTCACGCTGCTAGTAACTGCCAAGACCGGCCTCAGGTTGTCAGCTAAGCCAGTTGTCATCTCTGAGGACAGGGTGTTGTACCCTATGAAGATTGCCACCATGCCATTTGAGCCTCCCAAGACACTTACAGTTCATCTTTTCTCCTGACTAGCCCTAAGTCCCCATGGGTATTTCAGGACCATAGGACTGTCCCTGTGGAAGCATCATATTCACTGACCCTGCTTCAGGATCTGTCTAACTCCCTCCCCTTGGTGCACTATCTTCAGATAGGCTCATCTGCAGGGATCTTGTGCACTGGAGCCATTTTAGAACAGAGAGAAGCTGGGGAAGACACTGTTCTCTGACAAATAAAAGGCCTAGGTAATGAGCATCCTGACACTGAGATTCACACACAGTGTTTCCACATGAGAGCAATGCAATGTTGGCCTTCCTGGGGCTTTTGTGCAAGGGGACCAACTACTCTTGACAAACACAGAGGTGGAGAGGAATGTTTCTGTTTGAGCAGTAGCCAATGCCAGCAGAATGTTCTCCAGTAGATAAAGTGTCTTCAAGGTCAATGTAGAAAGCACTACTTTACAGAGATCACCAGCTGACACATCAACTCTGCTTGATATAGTCACAAAAAACTGCCAATGTGTGTGTGTTAATTGACTTTACAACGCCAAATGCTAATGAATAAATGGAAATCTCGTATTTTTCCACCTTTGTTTTGAGTAAGCACTCTTTCCTCAGTTTCCCCCATAAAGTAAGAATTAATAAGATAAGATTGATCAAATAAGTATTTCCTAGATGGGTCAAAAAGTCGCCTTCTTGCATGTTTAGATTTCCAGATATCCACATCCCTGTACAGCAAACACAATACCTGTGGATGTGCATGCGTGTGCACAAACACACACCATATGCCACATCCCAGGCTCTCTGATTCTAAGAAACCACTCTAATCTTAATCCTTTAAATGTGATTATTATTGTTATCATTGTTATTACTTTAGGTAATTCTGGGAATTCTACTTCCTCCTTCAATTCTCAGCTTGGAGTTCAAGAACAAAGACGACATGCCCTATATGACTCAGGCCCAAGAAATTCATCTCCAAGAGAAGGAGCCAGAGGAGCCAGAGAAGACCACAAAGGAAAAAGATGAAGAGGACATGGAGCTAACAGTAAGAAAACACTATGCAATTTTTCTCCCAGAGGAGATTCCCCCCAAGCCACTCAAGCATTGATGTTGCTAAGGTTCAACAATGCTTGAGATAAGGCTTCCCCAGCCTCCTGCCAGGTCTAATGTTGTAAGTGTTGCAATCACAGTATCATAAAAGTTTCCTCTTTGTGTGCAAACAGCAAGGCTATAGGATCCAACTGTATGGAAAATCCTTCTGCCAACATGCTGCAGAACAAATCGATAAAAGTCAGAGCCAGATGCCCTCAATTTTCCAGGCAAGCATCCTGTTTATAAACATGATGATGTGACTGGCAGTCTTAACACACAAGAAAGAAAGGAAAGCCATGAGCTGTGAGCAGCCAGCTTTGCTGAGCTGGGACCATTCTGCTGGTTGGAAGCTAAGCCTGTATCTGTCTTCAGGGCCAAAGTCACAAAGCCATCACTAATTGAATTTTGAGGTTCGTGTGGAAAGCTTTTATTAGCACTTCCTGGTACAATTATAGAACATGGATGCTTTGTTCTGCTGAGAGAACAAGACAGCTGTGCATGGAACCACTTCCCGCAGCCCCCACCCAAGCGACATGACTGCCACTGGCTTGTGTCCAAAGGATAAAAATAGTCTGTGCTATTAAAGGGACAAATAGGGCTTCATAGCTTGGGAGAGCTGCGTCAAACAGCAACTCCAAAGGGATAAATAGTTCTGAAGTACATCAGCCACCCTCATCACCCCAGCCACTGGCTACAGGAGTAATGACCCAGAAGGAGCTATAAAGGAAAAGATGAAAATTGGTTTGGTTCAGGTGACAAAAAAGACTCTGGATGAGTCTTGTCATTGGGACCACTATGGGACATGTTCTTCCATATGCACAGAGCTTCTTTCTAGAAACTCCTTCCTGGGGAATCTGTTGATAGATATGACCCTTCACTCGCTGAATGAAAAGCCAAGTTTTGTTTCAGTTCCCAGATCTTTGTAAACATCTATGTAGGCATCAGCCCTACCCTGCCCTGCCTTGCAATAGCAGGAGAGACTGCCTTCCCTGCAGATCATGTTGTAATTTTGATCTCCGAACTCCTCAGACAAGAAATGGTATTTTAATCATGGTTAGTGTTGATTCTGAATTCTTATTGGCTGTTTCAGCACAGAGGAAACGAGTATTGCTCTAGAGTCAGAATCCGACCCTTTATGTACTTGTTATATGACCTTACAGACAATTTCATGCCTTCAAGAGTGGGAGTATAGTTTTGTCTGCCTCGCTGGTGGTTATTTGGTTTAAAGAGTAAACCACTTGGACACATACATGTAAACTACTTAGACTAGCAACTAAACATTAATAAAAGTTTGTTTATGTTCCTAAAATGATGCTGCACACTCTATCTGCCCTCACTCACGGGACCACATCATGGCCACTAGGGATACATTGTTCTACTTCCCAGCATAGAAAGCGAATGACTCAGAGATTAAATTGCTCACATTTATCCAACTGGTTAGTTTGCAAAGGTCAGATTATAATCCAGGAATACATACTCCATTGGCTGTTATACATTTTATAACCTAGTCAATTGTCAAATGTAAGAGAGAATTATTTTCTATTCTATTCTTCAATGGTCCTGTTTAGTGGATTTAGTTTAGCACAGTGTAGAGAGCCTCCAAGGGATGCCAAGTGTCCCAGATGAAGTATGGTGTGGCTCCCTCACAGGTAGCCATCCTGGGAGGACATCCAGAAGCTGCAAGATGCTCTCAGTGGCTGGGTATAGAGGAATGAGCTTCCTTTGTCTGCTAAAAGCTTTGGAGACTTTAATTCTTCATGAAGTCATTGTAAAAGATGTCTCCCTAGTCCCAGCGCATAACAGGCTTGCCAGGAAATCAATCCTAACACTGTTCACTGTGAACCTGAGTAGGAGGTATGATGATGAGCAGAAACCTCACAAAGAAGAATAATGTGGGGACATGTGGGCTGCAAGCTTTGATTGAGGCAGCATTGTCCTTAAAGGGAGCCTCTTTTCACCCTGATGGCAATTTCTGTCCCCTCCTGCTTCTCTGGTGAGCAGCTTACCTGGGACAGGGATGCATCCTTTCTGAAAACAGGACACCCTTGGTTGCTTCCAAAGTGACACCTAAGAATATCGGTTTCTAACTGCACCATGTTCATAGCCTTTAGCAGCTTAATTTATATCAAAGGATCTTTCTCCAATTTGACACCTGCGCCCAGCAGGCAGGGTCTCAAATCTGCACTGAACAATGATATAGTTGACTCCGTTCAAACCTCTTTTTCTACTAGAAAATGTTTTTGTTTTCTATATGGAGTGTTTCTTTTACACATAAATGACCCTGTTAAATTCTGCTTTAAGCAACAAGGGGAAAGAAGTCAACAAAATCAGAGTTAAGCTGCTAAGGCTGGAACTGGTGAAATGGTAAATATGTAAAGGACAAGACTTTGCAAGTGTACCCCGCCCCTCAGAAAATACGTGAGTAACAAAGGAAAAAATGACTGCAATGCTTCTGTTTCACCTTCATGGCCAAGGAAGTATGCCATCCCACACTTAAGCCTAAAACAGCCCCCAGGATGTGCAGAGCTCCAGGGCTACGTATGCTTTGCTAACAAAGACACTGTCCCTAGAGGTTACCCCAAGATGTCATTCTCTAAGGTACCTAAAAAACATCAACTTGTCTTTTATTTCATTCCATCATATCCCTAAGCGGCACTGGATTCTTGGGCATAGAAATAAGCAAGAATGGGAGAATAATTTTTACATAAACTATAGAACAAACATCTCATTCTGTCAGTCTCTTGAGGTCAGTGACCAATGTTAATAGGACTCTACTGGACTCTCCTGCGCTTAACCTACCAGAATATTGATTCAGTTCACTGATGAAAATAGACACATATGATAGTCATAGAGTGAAATCTTCCTTCCTTTAGCTCAAGGCAGCTTTCTCACCAGGCTATACAAAGGAATGGAGGTTGCTTCCCCAGAAATGTTCCTGGATAGATATAAACCATTTGTGAGTGTCATACAGTCAAATGAATTGGCTATGAGGAAATCATTGAAATTCTTGAAACTAATATTTGTTGGGTATTGTGTCAGGTGGTTGAAAACTAAGTCATGTAGTAGTTGTCTCTGTCTTCAGTGTCATTACAAATTGCAATTGTTGCTATAGTTAGGTCTCATAATTGGAAACTTATATGCCAAGTACTCTGTCTTATCCCAAATCCTTGTCAATCTGAGCAGCTATATCTGAGCAGCTATAATGTATGTCTTATCCTAGTCTCACATTTATCTCGAGTCTCAGGCTTAGGGATTGGCTAAACATGTAAGAAAACTTGCTGTAAAAACATAAGGGCCAGAGTTCAAGTCCCCAGACCCACATAAAAAGCCAGCTATGGTCACATGTCCCAGGGGAGGTAGGCAGAGACAGGAGGTTTACTGGGGCTTCCTGGCCATCCAACTAGATCCAGGTTCAGTGAAAGATTCTACATCAAGGGTATACAATGGAGAGTGATAGAGCAAGGCACCTAATATCCTCCTCTGGCCTCTGCATGCACACCTATATACATATGTGCATATATCACACATTCACCACATATCTGCAAAAAAATAAAAAATTCAATTCCCCAGCATTGTGTAGTTAACTTCATATGTCTTATAACAATATTAAGGAATTAAAGTCAATACTTTACCCTGTTAGAGACTCCCATAGCATGTACATCTTTCTGGTGAGGGACCTTCAGGAGAGAGTATCTAAGAAGGTCCAAGTTCACTTTGAAGATTATCTAGTAGTTACTGAGCACTTAATTAGATGCCAGATGTCAACCCATAGGGCCCCTAAGGACATAGCCCAATTTATGGCTAAATAAAGTAGGTTTCAGAGAAGTTGGAATAACTTGCCCAAAAGTCCACAGATTCTGAGTATTCATCTTAGAGCTCACCCTCCCATCTGAGTCATCCAAAGCCTACTAGCATTCACTATTAGGATATTCAGTCATTTCTGGGACATCCTATTGCTTGCTACCCAGGCAGGGTGTGTCTTCCTGTTCTTCAATTCTGCTGTTTTTGCAATATTTAATCATTATTACCCATACTGCTACTGTTGTGATGGACAACAAGGGAAACCATGTTTACAGAGATCTCCAGCAGCTTACAGATGAGGTCCATTGCAGATCAGGCTTGCCTCAAATCCTTCTGCTAATCCACCTGGTTGCAGAGGAAGGCAGTGTACTCAGGAGTGACCATAAGATTGATAACAGCAGGAATTCCAGTCTTACAAGGTTTAGAATGGAAAGATCAATGCCCTTGCTTTGAAATAGGTAGAGATATCCCTAGACTGACTAAATGCCAAGCACTTCAGACGACTTTTAACTTGAATGCTCCCACACTTTGGTTATGTAATAGACTCTGGTCCAATCAATCCACCTTTGACTGGAAAGTCACTAGCACAGGTGTAGACAGAATTTGAATCCAGACCCTGAATGTCTCATATATATATGAAAAGAAAGTAACAGAATCTGGACAGATTCCTGTAGCCTGGCCTTCCCAAACAGTGCTTATTATCACTCCCAGAACTCTGTATATCCTACTGCCTACCTCATTCAGAGGGTTCTGGTTGGAAAAAAAGAAAGCTCAAGAAATACCCCCCAAGCTTTCCTTCCTTAGAAGAAATGCACAGCTTATACTAATATAGTGCAAGCTCACACATAGACAAGGCATGCCTTTATGCTCTGGGGGTGGGGCTTATATTGAGTTCTGTGCACTCTTGGGTGCCATGAACATCCACTTGTCCTTTGCAACACAGCCTACAGAGCCCAGCCTTGATTGTTTCTGCTCTCTCACACTGTAGGCGATGTTGGGGCGAAACAACGGGGAGTCATCCAGAAAGAAGGATGAAGAAGAAGTCCAAAGCAGGCATCGGCTAATCCCTGTGGGCAGAAAAATCTACGAGTTCTACAATGCACCCATTGTGAAGTTCTGGTTCTACACCGTAAGCATTTCCCTTCCCCCTTTCCAAAAGGCGTTCCTTTCTCAGGCACCTGTGTGGCTTTGTCTGAGCAGCATGTTATACGTACCATGTGTGCAGGAATGAAAGTTCTGTGACCTTGTTTTTCCAGTACTTTCACAAGATTTGAGGACCTTTCTGGGCAGCGTCCATTGACTGCCTTTATGTTTGCCACAGAAGGTAAACGAACTGACAGAGGTGAGACATAATAGAAACAGATGTGAGATGTGTATGAGTTAGTTCAACATGAAAACAAATGTCCTCTTCCAGAGCATTCCTATGTTGCCGCATGGATGAGAACTAGGACAGAGTGGTCCATTACAGATGCTTATCCTGGGCTTCAGGGAACATGTAGTGGGTCAGGTTAACACATGGTGTAGATGTAGCACCTCTAGGGACAGACAGCATCTATAAGTAACAACTTCCAACCTGGTAATGACATCAGTCACACTTTCATACTCAGGCACAATTAAATAGCATGCAGCTCAAAGCTAGAAAACCTCCAATCCTGGTAAATATTCTCCAGGAATCACACCATATGCACACTTCCTGCCTGCAAAGCCATGGGCTTCCCCAAAGTGGCATCTGATATTGTAGATAGGTACATTGCTGGGACTCCCTTCTCCTTTTCAATGAGCTTTCCAGTGGTTCTCAACCTTCCTAATGCTACGACCCTTTAATACAGTTCTTCACGTTGTGGTGACCCCAACCATAAAATTATTTTCATTGTCTGGACATTGGTGAACCACACCTTTAATCCCAGCACTCGGGAGGCAGAGGCAGAAGGCGGATCTCTGTGAATTCCAGGCCAACCTGGTCTACAGAACAAGTTCCAGGATAAGGCTCCAAAGCTACACAGAGAAACCCTTTCTCGAAAAACCAAAATAATAATAATAATAATAATAATAATAGTAATATTTTCATTGCTACTTCACAACTGTAATTTTGCTACTGTTATCAGTCTGTGTTTTCTGTGATGGCCTTAAGTGACCCTTGTGAATAGATCCCAGAAAGGGGCATTCGACTCCCAAAGGGTTATGACCCACAGGTTGAAGTGTAAAGTGATTCTGTACAACCTGGTGGAGCTACACCAGATAAATGACAATGTTTCTGTATTTTTAGAGTTTCTCACAACCAACTGTAGAGCCTTCATTTGAGTCAACAACAGAATAATCTAGGTCTGAGAACAAGAGAGTTCAAATGATCATGGAAGTTGCTTCCTGTGCAGTCCAAGATACTGATATTCAATGCTGGCTTTAAAGGGAGACTTCACTGCCTTGGCATTAGTGATATTTTAGTTAGGATAATTCTTTGCCATGAAGCAGCATCCCTGGCCTGTACCCACCAGATGCCAGTACCACACTCTGTCCTTTAAGGGTGACAGCCAAAATGTTTCCAGGCATTTTTGGGATAAAAACTACCCCAGTTAAAAGCTGATACTTTAAGGGATGACTTTAATAGATTATGAGAGAATATAAAACATACGTTTCACATTTACATTCATATTAGTAAAATAAAATTTCATATGTATTGACATTCTAAAATAATAGCCACCTCAAAATAACATACATCCAAAAATTCAGTTTGCATTCTTTTTTATAGCATTCTTTCGTGTTTGCCCCATAGAAAGCCTTGGAGCTATGACTGTGGGTAGCCTGTAAAGAGACAGGCTACAAACAGGTCTGCCTGTGTCCCTCTGTGCTGTTTGGTCCCAAACAAGGGACTTTCCTATTCTGTCCTTCTGTGGGACAGAGATAACGCTACTGCCTACTTTAGGAAGACTGATGTGTTGAAGGATACAAAGCACTTACAATGGTGTCTGAATCCGTAAGTACAATATGGGAGTAGCTAGTGTTATTCCTAAACTAGTCACATTTCTAAGAGGTAATCAATACCAGCTTCATCTGTCCACTCAACAACAGAAGTGTCATTTATTGAGCAGCTACGGTGTTTAAGCAAGGGTCCAGATGCTTCCTAAATAACTTCCCTGAGGCTGACAACGACTTCATCAATACATCTGTCCCTCCCTTTTATACCCACATCTGCCCTTCTCCTTCTGTTCTTCTGATTTGGTTCTCACAACCAAAAGGGGGTGGGGGAAGGTGGAAACTATAGCCACAAAGGAAACTCCACTCTTACGGTCTACATGCTCAAACTCATTTTTGCATTATTTCATTTATTCTGGGATGCTGTGCATCACACCAGGTGCCTTACTCATGCTAGGCAAGTGCTGTGCCCCTGAGCTGCAACCCCAGCCTGGTTCTGTTTGTTTTGCTTTGAACCTTTCTTTAAAAGGTTAAAGCAAACTTTTTTTAAAAAGATCAATTTGTGAAATATGAAATTCAAATTTCATTGTTCTCTACACCTGGCCACATGTGTGCTACAACAACAACAGCAAAAAAAGTTAATTTAAAAACAAAAAACCTTGCCAGGCATTGTGGCGCTCGCCTTTAATCCCAGCACTTGGGAGGCAGAGGCAGGCAGATCTCTGTGAGTTCGAGGCCAGCCTGGTCTACAGAGAGAGTTCCAGGACAGCCTCCAAAACAATACAGAGAAACCCTGTCTCGAAAACAAAAAACAAAAAAACAAAAAACAAAAAACCTCTTGGCCTATGATTCATCCTGTGGCCTTTTGAAAATGTTAGCAGATTCCTGGTCTAAAGCATAGGAGAAACTGGTGGAGGGAATTGCATAAAGAATTAACCAGCACTTGGATGAACACTGACATCACTTAGCCTCCCAAGGCATCTGCTTTTTCTTCTTCATTGGGGTTTCACATTCCCATCATTTGAGTTCCTTGATTCTCTTGTTCCCTATTGACTCAACCTAGGCCTTTTCAGCCCTGAATGCTTTCTTATCGCAAGTGCCCTGGCTAGTGGCTCTTGGCCTTGGCACCTCCATATGAAGATTATTTAAATCACCCACTACACTTTTGGTTTTGATTTTGGTTTGGTTTTGTTGGTGTTGATGTTGTTTAAGCCAAGGTCTCACCCAGGTTTTCCTTAAACTCATGATCACCTTGTCTCGGCCTCTCAAGGGCTGGGATTATAGGGATATGTCATGTCCATCTGTTGAAACATCTTAAAAAATGTGCCCATGCCAGACCTCCACCCTTAGAGCTCTGATGTCGTCGCTCTGGGTACTGCCTTAGAGCTCGCCAGGTCTTTATCATGAGCAGCTGGGGTTAAAAAGCCCTGACTCGGAACAGAGAGTAGTGAGTTTTAAACTATTATTTTTTAAATGCCCATGATAAGAAATGACTTACTAGAAATCCCAATTCAAAGATCCAACATGGACCCAACTGAATCAATTCTATGGAATAAATGGGGAGGTGTTTGCCAAAAGTTCCAGGTGTCTCTAATGATTACAGAAACCTAGAGCTCACTGCTTCAAAAACCATTTGCAGAATGTTTTGAGACACTATCAAGTTATTTTTCTATTGCTGTGACAAAACACCATGGCCAAGGCAAATTATGGAAGAAAGCATTTAATTAGGCTTATGGTTTCAGAGGGTTGGTGTCCACCATGATGGAGTGAAGGCATAGACAGGAACAGCACATCTTGATCTGCAAGTACTCAGAGAGAAAGCTAATTCAAAATCCTGTGAGTCCCGCTAACTGGAGACGAAGCATTGAAGCATATGAAGTTATGGGGGCATTCTGATTCAAACCAGTACAGGAGCTGTAGCTTTGACGGTGGGGTTAAGTGTCCCGCTCTCTCTTTCCTATAACTTACTGGGTTAGCCTCAGGAAATCCATCACACTAAATTCCCCAGTTATATTCAAACAATTCCAGAGGTTTGTGTTCAAATGTTGACAAAACCCAGACCTCAAGGTAAATGAATGGAAATGAGAGGTCCAAGCTTTTGAGACCCCAACAATACTTAACAATAAAATTCATCATCAGATTGGTGGTCCCATTTGCTGTGGTCTGTGTCCTCTGTAAGAGTATTTCCTCTCTGATTTCCAGAAGTGTTCCTTCCACCTCTTTGACACTCTGACCAAAGAGAACATCCACTCAGTCCCCTAGGATCTCTTGTCCTCATCTCAGCTGGAACAAGTGAATCCTCTTTAGATCCAAGATAGAAGGAAGCCGATCCAAATGGCTCACAGCCCCTGTATGTGCAGAGTATCTTTCTTAGTTACGAGCTGGAGAAGATTTTGAGCTCAAGGTACAAAACAACCACAGAGGACATGATGCTTACTGTGGGTTTCCCCAGTAGTGACAAACACTTCCCCAGAGGCACTAGGTTAGGTGACATACAAGATGACATGCATGAGCTGAAACTTAAACCCAAATTCCACTCCAAGTTTCTCTGCCTACATTCCTTACTCCAAATACAGTATACCTGAGTTCATAGGATGAACCCTGTTAGTAAAGTTACTTAAGTTCTAAAACAAAGAATTTCTGAAGAAATGAGTTCATGTGTCACTGGGCCAACATGTGACAAGAAGAGACAATGCCTCAGAATGTTTTGCATTGAACTTCGTAGAAGGTTAAAACCAGGGTCCTTAAGAGTCACTCCATCTTGAAGCAACAGAATTTTATTCATAAGTGACCAGGAAGACAGAAGCAATTCCAGGCAAAAGGAAACAGAGGTATATTAGAGAGTTTTCCCACTGACTCCCTTTCTTTGTGTTTTGTAACTGTGCATACAAGGATTTCAGAGCATATCGGTGTTTTCTTGATTGTAACCTGACACCATGTGAACCAAGTCACACTTGGGACCATTTTTTAGAGGATGCCTCTCTCATGTGAAAGTTCTGTGATGCCCTAGTGATTCTTAAGTGGGGCTCTAGACATGGGTTAATGTAACAGTAGTCATGGGGATATAAAAACCAAATCACCCAGGTGGAAGAGCTCAGCTAACCCTCAGCAGCTTCAGCACTCACTCTCTGTCACAACTGATTATTCCAGATGTGATATCCTCTGCCTCTGTCATAGCTTCATCCTTTGGATGAAGGAAGGACTGGCTGGGAAGTATCTTGCAGTGGTAGAGTGTTTGCCTATTATGCCCAGATCTTGGCTTATCAGAAAGGGAATGCTGTGTCACAGCTGTACCTGGACATGTGCCATCAAGGTAATGAGGGTCTCAGAGGTACCTTTGATTCACATTAAAAGTCTATTCAGTTTACTAAATTGTAGGAAGAAGCCCATTGGCACATAATACATCTTTCTGGTCCCATATCTCTTAACTCCTTACGAGGCTGCAGTTTCTGCCTCCTAACTTGCCTTTACAGTCCCAAAGTCACACATTGTTTCCAGTACCTCAAATCCCCAATCCTCCTGCCCACATGCTGCCCTGTTCATTGCCACACCGCCCCCAAAGAATGCAGACTTGAGTCAGCTCACTCTGGGTCCCTGCTCACAGCCCCTGAGGCCAGTCAGAGCCTTGCTCAACTTGAAGCATTGCCTGCCATCCCCCTTGAGGTAAACTTTCTTATGCAAGAGCACCACACCTCTCTTCTTTCCACATTGACATCACTGCATCTTTCAACAACAGCCTCCAAGCCTGGGCCCTGAGGAGTGTTTCCCAGATCCAGCATTTCAGCCAGTCACACCAGGACTCAAACTCCAGATGCTGGAGCCTCTGGAGGATTAAATCCACTCTGGGACAACAGGTCACATGCCTTCCTGTAAACTGCTTTATTTTATCTTGTTTTGTTTCAAAAAAGCAGAAAGCAAACTCAAATGTTCCAACCAGGGCAGGGCAGGATGACAGGACAATGGGAAAGAGGTCAAAATCCTCCCAAAGAAGCCAACCACTGAAGATCAGAAACATCTACTCAGGACAGCAGGGGAGTGGGGGCCTTAAGATTAAATCTAGGCTGCTTACACTGCAGTTTTACCAGCTTACAATTACTATATGTGTCTTCTTTCTGGTAGGAATGAATCTATCTGGTGTCTTTCAGGAAAAATAATATACTATATCACCTTAGGATGGGAAGCCAAGTCTTCACCTAAGCAAGAAGAGCCCTGTTATGCCAGGTTTTTTTTTCTAAGCCAGAACACCAGAACACACACACACACACACACACACACACACACACACCAAAAACAAACAAAAAAACTGGTGATTGCCACACAAATTCATACATGGTGACACAAAGGTTCAATCAAGGTACTAAGACCCCATAGACACATATAAAAGTCAAAAACAAACATTGCATATTCAATTATTTGTAACTATTATAGCATTTTTTAAAAAAATGTTTGTAGTAAAGATGACTCAGAAGGCAACGGCACTTGCCATCAAGCCCGGTGACCTGAATTCTATCCCCAGAACTTGGTGCATGGAGAGAAACAACTTCTGCAGACCTCCATAGGAATGCACACAGAAATAAATAAATATTCTTTCTTATTTAAAATTCTTTAGCTCATTCACCATGGATTCCCTGTCCTGCTTACTGAACCTTGCTGGGTGCTGCCGTGCATTGGTCTTGCCCAGGCCTCTGCAGTTAGACGACTGTATTGTATTTCCTTGCAGCTGGCATATATCGGATATCTGATGCTCTTCAATTACATCGTGTTAGTGAAGATGGAGCGCTGGCCTTCCACTCAGGAATGGATCGTCATCTCCTACATTTTCACTCTGGGAATAGAGAAGATGCGAGAGGTAACGACTTCATAAATGAAAATAGGAGCGAAATGGTGGTTCATCATATCTGAGGATGGAAAATTGGGAGGGAAGCTTGGGATCCAAACTTAGCCCCAAACTGGATTCTGTAATGTTGCTGAAGGCTGCCACTTTCCTCTTTGTCAAACCTGGAGAGATTTCCTAGGGCAATTAAGTCTATTTTCTGCTCGCAACCTCCAGAGGGCCTCAATATCATTTACACCTCCCTCCTCTCATCCCTATGAAGATGACTTTTTGAATGTTGGTTTTTTTTAGCTACTATTTCTACCCCTCACTTGGGGTCTCCTTGGACACTGTCCATCAATCCACTATCAACCTCTCCAAATGTGTTCCAGCAGCTTGCTGTCAAGCCCAGTGACCTGAGTTCAATACCCAGAACCCACATGGTGGAGAGAGAGAAACAACTTCAGCAGGGGGGAGGGAGCGACACTGTGCATGTATTCCTTTATTCAGTCTATTCTTGAGTTGATCCTTCTCAATGTCCGTCCCCCCCAGGCTGGGCACCTACCAGCTCTTCCACCCCTGGGGGGCACCGCGGAGTATGGAACACCGTTCTGATACTTGACGTTGAGGATACAGTAGTCTCTCTCCTCACCTCCCTCCATTTAAGACTAAGAGGAGCCATTGAGATGCCATCCCCCTATACAGTTTGTTTGAAGTCAAAACTAACCACGGGGACAGGAAATATTCAGTGCTAAAAAGAAATGAGCTATGAGGCCATGGGAAATGTGTTTTGAAGAGAAAAATGTTTGAGAGGGACATTCTATATAATTCCAGCCATATGAAATTCTGGGAAAACCTATGGAGATGGGAGGGGAGCTATGGAGATGGGGTGGAGGCTATGGAGTGGTAAGAAGATTGGTGGTTGCCTGGGGTAGGACACTGCAAGGTGAAGCTCGGGCTTCTAAGGAGAAAAATATTTTGTGTGCTACTCTAGTAATGGGCTCATATCATTGTATACATGTTCAAACCCATAGAATGTATCCTACCAGCAGTGAACCCTGATATGAAATATAGTCTCTGATGAATGTGTCAACATCATTCCACCATTTACAAAAAGGAGGGGGGCTTTGTGAACTTAAAACTGCTTTTTAAACTTAATTTTAAAAAAGAAATGCTAACCCCAGCCGTTTAGAGTCCAAGGCTTCTAAAATCCATGTGATCAAGAAACAATCCACAAGAGGGCGCATCAATCCTGCTCAGTGTTCTCCATAAACTCCTACCTCACCAGAGAAAACCTGCAGGGAAGGCAGGCTTGCAAGGTGAGGCAACTCCTCCTCTGCATGTTCCCAGAAACTGCAGTGAGTGGGAGAGGCCTTTTCAGTAGGAAAGGATCCTGTGAAGTCTGTACCGATCTGGGAGCTCCAACACAATCCTGGTGTCTGTATTACAGTGGTGGGCACTAAATGGAATGGGGCCACAAACCCACCTTCATCATCCAGACATGTTCAAATGTTCTTGCCCTGGTGAATTTCATCTCTGGAATGTTCTCCAGAGACGAAAGATGTTGTATCTATTAAATTTAAATTTGATTGCAAACACACACACACACACACACACACACACACACACACCTTTGCATTCAGCACCGTCTCTGGGTCTGTGTGGGTGCTGCTTTGATTCTAACTGACATTTCCTCCTCCCGTGGCGTGGGAGTGGTACACAAGCCCCACCTGACTAGAGACTTGGTTAAATGACTAAAGACTAAGGCAGTGAGACGCCTTGTGTTTCTGTGGTCAGTCCTTTGCACTGTGTTCCACCATTCAGAGTGCCTTCCTTTGCTTGAGTAGAGCAGTGGGCTTGTAAACTGAGAAACAGTAATAAATTTGCCTGGGGCTTTGTGTAGCTCTGAGAACTGAGCCTGCTCCCGCCAGGGGCCCTGCCTCTGTGTAGTGCCAGCTGGCACTCTAGAGACTTAACACCCAGCCACATATTCCTTCCTCATCACAAGCAGAGGAGGGAAAGACTGGAGTGTGGAGGCTGGAGACTGTCCAGGAACCAGGCTAGAAGAAGACGGGGAGCAGTCTGTACTCCTCGGACTGTTCTAGAGAGGCTGCCAAGCCGGCAGGCTGCCAGCAACCTCCAGGCCTGGCCATCCATTTCTTGTGAAGCTGCATGTCATGGCAAGCAGGGTGTGGCTTCTGATACAGGGTCAGGGCTGGGTCATCTGAAGAATTCTTGCCACTGAGGGAGATGTGGGAAGGGGGGGGTTGTGGCCATTTCTGTGCAGATCTTTTTCTCTGCAATTGGTGAGGTCGTCTCTCACCCCATGTCCCTGCCTTGAACTCTGAAAGGAGAGGCTCAACTATTGAGTGGATGACAATTCCCACAAGCACCGGCCTTCCTGCCTCCTTGCGGTTGGCACACAGGCCCTCGGGAACCCAGACGCAAGATCCTGGAAGCATGGAAAAGTTTGCATGCTTCCGTGCCTCCCAAGCAAACACAAGGAAGGCTGTGGTTTCATGTGCTGCCGTTCCCGTTCTCTTCACCACATACTTCTGCATGTAGTCACCAGAGCCAGCCACAGCAATCCCTTAATAGTATGGGGCTGTTTACAGCAAGCCTTAGTAGACATTATCTCACCCAGGGCTCCCCCAAGTCTGTGAGGTCAGTAACAGCCATGATCCTATTCATCCCCACTTCATAGGTCTGGGAAACAGGATGGAGCAATTGTTTGGTAGGCTACAACTAGGGAAGAGAGCGAGGTCTGAAACCTGTTTGGGTCATCTGAAACTCCCCTTTCCATTCCCCCATGATGCTCTACCAAGGCCTGTGCTAAAGGCTAGCTTGGCAGTGAAGGAGCAGAGGAGGGGTGCTCCTAAGCCCCCCTCTCTTTCCTCACACTCTCCCTCTCTTCCCCCCTCTCTTCCTCCCTCCCCCCACCCCCTCTTAGGTGTGGTCCATCCTCCCTGACCCTTATTTGTCATGCGCATACACAGATTTTTACCCAGTTAAGACAAAACCAGAGGGTAAGGAGCCAACAGGACAGCAACAGTTGCAGGGAGTGCTGGTGGGTAGGTAGGACAGTGGACCTCACACCTCGGTCACCAGCATGATCTGGGAACATGTCAGAACAGTGAATCCCCTGGCCTAATCCCACACCCGCTCAAGTAGGAAGTCAGTGGTGGGAATCAGGTATCTGTGTTTTGGAGACATGGAGGCTACTGCAGCTGGGATGGTCAACAGAGGCCTTCCTAAGAAGGGGACATCTGAATAAACAGCCTAAGGATAAGAAGGAGCCAAACATGCAAACTCTTGGAAAAGTGAAAGGAATTAAGTGTCGTGAGCTTAGGCTGAACATGTTATGCTTCCCAGCGGCCAGTGCGGCTATAGGGAGAGAAGGGGGGAGGATCGAGTCGGATGGGAAGTGGGCCATGGCAAGGAGTCTGCCTTTTGGTCTGTTTATAATGAAAGCCATCAGAAAGTTTAAGTATGTACTTACTGTGGTTTGCTTGTCCCTCGTCTGTTTTTCTAAGACATGAGGTATAATTTACTGGTAATGAAAGGAAACCCTGCGCAGGGTGCAGCTTGATGAGGCCTTGCTTACACAAACAACTGTGTCGTTGCCAACCACATCAAGGGTTAGGTCTTTAAAGAGCTCACTGTATGCTGCTCAGAAAGTGGATGGTAGGCTGGTGGCCATAATGACAGCAGATACGTCATAAGGAGACAGTGGCAACCATGTGCCTGATGTAATGGGACTTAGAATTCAGTGGCAATCATGAAGATGATGATAAGGCATTAACGGGGTTGGACTTCAGATAATGGCTTACTGATGCAAGAGAGGGATGGAGGTGTCCTGTAGGAGTGGTCCATGTCACTCAGTACTGAAGCGCTGTTTACTGAGATGATTGTGGGGACCTGTAGCATGTTAGGAATATATAATGTTATAGCAAAAGCCTGAAGTGGCTCAGAATTGCCAGAAAATCCAAAGGATCGAACCAGTTGTTTACATCTGCTTTTAGACTGAGCACATCTGGAGTACCCAAGCTTAGTCCAAATATGCATTCATAGCATATAGGTATCCAACCAGACACAGGTCTGGGCGGCCCCTTCTGTCAGCTAACAGAGCACTTTCCAGCTGAGCGGAAAGCACCGGAGAAACCAGGCCTAACCCTCTCTGCTGATTTGCAGATCCTGATGTCAGAGCCCGGCAAGCTGCTGCAGAAAGTGAAGGTGTGGCTGCAGGAATACTGGAATGTCACAGACCTCATCGCCATACTTCTCTTCTCAGTGGGCATGATCCTTCGTCTTCAAGACCAGCCCTTCAGGAGTGATGGGAGGGTCATCTATTGTGTGAACATCATTTATTGGTACATCCGTTTACTAGACATCTTCGGCGTGAACAAGTATCTGGGCCCATATGTAATGATGATTGGGAAAATGGTAAGCAAGGTCATTCGGTTCCATGTCACCCTTTCCCAGAGGAAGGTCCATGATAATAGAAAGAGAGATGTGATTCATTTCAGTTTGCTACTGTGGTCTGCATGCGAAGGCCCCAAGGGTGTTTCGGTGTTTTAATTCCCTCTGAGTGCTTGCAAATTTAACTCTATTGCTATACACAAGCTGAAGAACACAGTCATCAGCCACCTGTTTACTCACTGAAGCATATGGAAAGATCACTTGCTTTATGCCGGGGACTGGCTTAAGAGCCAAGCAAAGCCAAGCAGTGGTGTGGCACACCTTTGATGCCAGTGCTTGGGAGGCAGAAGCAGATGGATCTCCAAATTTGAGGCTAGCCTAGTCTACAGAGCAGGTTCCAGGATGGCCAGGGCTATACAGATAGACCCTGTCTAGAAAAAGAAAAAGAAAAATAGTTGAGCAAAGATGTCATTTCATGAAACAGACAAATGAAGGGGAGTCCTTTGCATGCAGGATAAAAAGGTTCCCACAGTTACGCCTATGAAGTCCGGATGAAATCACAAGTCAGGACAGGCTCATGCAGAATGTTCACGGGGATCAGGCTTAGAGGAGGACTTGGTCTCCACAAAAATGTTAAGAGATTTTGAAGACTCCCTAAAAGATGAGCTTTGAGGTTGACAGATGAAGCTGGGTGTTTTGCACTCACTTCGAATACCCAACTTAGGAAGCTAAGAACATCAGATCCCAGGCCATCCAGAGTTGCATAGCAAAAGCTTATCTCAATACAACCTAATGTAAAATAAGATCAAATAAAGCTCTCTTAAAAAGTGGCCTTTGCTCCACAAAGTGTGTGTGTGGGGGGGGGGGGGGGAGGCATTGAGTTGATCTGAGTTAGGGAGACTGAGTCTGAATACCAGAGGTTTTGTGAGTACTGGGGGAAACTATTGACTAAACCTGGCTCCTGAATGAGGCCTAATGGTTTAAAACAAAAGACTCTCAAGTGGCGCATTAATGTACCTCTGTACAAATGTCTGAGAACTTCTACTTCCTGACTATATTCCAGCCTCCAGAATTTTGCTATAAAGACTGAACCTGAGGTGACCTGCATCGGTGTGAACCTGGTGACAGGGGTGGTGTGGGGGCGGGGTGCTGGTTCATGAGCTCCTTCACTCTAGGGGAACAACCAGAGCCTGGGATCCACATGTGTATCTCCGCCATGTGGAAAGCTAAGCATATCCACCCTACCTGGAGAAATACCTCCTCATAATAATCTCTTCAGTATCATCTCTAGTTCTATCCTATGAGCTGTTGAAACCAGCAAGTGACATTACAGATGTCACTCAAGTTTTACTTTAAGCATCATTGCTAATTCAGTATTTATTAAACCACTGTGTATGAATTCTACTTAAATCCATCTTAAACAACTCAAAATCTTCCTATTAGGAAAACAATAACAACAAATCCATGAAAATTAATTTCCTTTACTTTTTGATATTCAGTCCACTGCCTTCTAAGGCAACAAAAACTGATAAGCGTGTACTTGGTAGAGCATGTGCCAAACAACAGCTGGTGGATAACCTATGTCTCCTATTGTTATGTTTATATTGTCTTTTTAAAGGACAGTGGAGAAAGAAAAGTTTACAAACACGCCATTCTTCTATACCACCAGCCCTTTCATACACAAGTTGGGAATTATCACACCAAGGTCACTTAGGGTAAATAGCTCCAGACACATTCTAGAGAAAGGAAACATGGGCTCTGAAGTGTCAGTTATCCAGACTGAACCCAGTTCAACTTGATATCGTTTGAGAAGGGAGAAAGTGTGCATTATTCTGCCATTGTGTCTTCATTGAACTATGGACTTGACATTTGGGTGACAACTCTGATATCTAGACGCAGACTCTGTGGAAAGGGTTTGAAGGAAGGGACCTGCGGATTCCTGCTCCCAACTTACATAGGAAAATATGCATATGGATTCTGGAGAAAACAGGCCTTTTTGAGATTCTCAAATATATTTCCAAGTAAACTGAGAAAAAAATATCAAACTATAACATCTTGGAAACTGGGCCAATTTTTCTCCACTTTGACACTGTTTTTTTTTTTTTAATTTTCTTTTTAAAGAATGTCTCACCATGTCAGCCACCCTGACCTGGACTTTACCCTTCTCCTGCCTTTGCCTCCTGTGTGCTAGGACTGCATGCATGTACACCACACCCAGTTGGGACTTTGTGATTCTTTGTTGAAGAGTCTCCATCCTGTATATTACAGGATGTTTAGCAGATTTCACACAGAGTTTGGGGGGGGGGGAGAGGGCAGAGAGAGAGAGCTAGGACAACAAAGATGTCTCCAAACATTGCCAAATGTCCCCTGAGGCACAAAACTGCACTCTGTCAAGAACTACTACATTAGGGGACTATTTAATCTGATAGTTATTTTTTATGATTACCTTATTTTAACAGATAGAATATTCAAAGACCCAAACCAAGTCAATTATTTTTAAAAGTCTAAGTGGCATTTAAATATTTGAAACATCTAAAGTTACATTAATACAATGAGATTATCTGAATTTCCGTGCCTATCATTTTAATAATGGCATAATTACCCCAGTTTTGACTCGAATGAAACCTTACTAAGAAATGATCAGGAGGGCTATGATGCCTTTTCTCTCCTTTTTAAGTTATGAATGACTTCATTTATCAGTCAGGAATAAGTAGGAAATTTGGGGACTTTGAGTTCTTACAGAATGCTTTTAAGATAATTAGTTCAATAATTGAGTCATCGATCCAGAAGGTAGATAAAATCCGTCTTTAGAGTTTATCAGTACGCCAGATGGCCTGCAAGCTGGAAGCTGAAGATCTTCCCAGATGTGTTACACACAAAGCCCTCAACTTCAGAGGCTTCCTCTTTAGTACTCCACACCCAGGTAGACATCTGGAGAGCAAACACGGGATGGCCAGGTGCTCGTTCTGAAATGGGTTTCTGTGCTTCTGTAGAAGAAACCAGCCCATCAAATCAATGTCTGAGAGCACAGACCTCCTTCGTCCGTCCCCACTGTGAGTCCTGTTGATATGCAGGTCCAGGTTCCCTTGAAATCCTGACTCGGTTCCTTCATATTTCATTTCTCAAGGAAATTCTGTAAACCTTGGACTAACTCACTTGTGTAACACGGAATAGAAAGAAACCATGACAGGAGTTATTTGTTACTATTCCAGCCAGGACCATGTGAGGCACCTCTTACCATAGATTTTTAGAACCCTCCTACATTAATTAAATAAACAGACTCTGAAACAGACAGGGACAAGGTTCAAACTCCTGACTCCAGATCTTGACCTTCCAATAACAACACATTAACATTTATGAGAACTTACCACATATCCATCACATTTAGTCAAAGGTAATCACGTGATTGTTATTATTATCCCACTTACAACATTTAAAAACAAGATTAAGCAAGTTGCTCCAGGCCACTCAGTGAACTTTCTTTGTCTTTTTTAATGGTCAGGGGAAGGTTTGTGTGTGTGTGTGTGTGTGTGTGTGTGTGTGTGTGTGTGTGTGTGTGTTTTCCATGTAGCTATTTTTGCTAACTGTTGGGATCAAAACCCAGGTCGTCTGGCACCTAGCAGCATGAGCCTCATCACCACTGTGGATGTTCTCTGTTGAACATACTGAGAGGTGTCCTAAGACTGGGCAGGATCTTAACGTTGAATTCACTGGATAATTTAACTTTGAAAACAAAAGAAGTCCCAGTTCCCTTCTTATTAAGGGGCTCAGATCCTGATATTTTAATGATATTAAAGACTTTGAAACAGAGAGCTCGGCATATGGGAAGAAATTTTTCTTTTACTGTTTTGACCCTGTGAATAGGAACAACTTTTAAAATAAAAAGCTGAGAAATTAAATTGCCGCAGTTTCTGTACTTACTGGCTGAGTTTTCTTGAGTCAGACTAGCTCCATACTCTCTTGCATACACCTAGTCCTCCCCACGCATCTGTTAATCTGTATAGACAAACATAACATGAAGACCCATCTGTGCTCCTTCATTGATACAAGTTTCTGTAAATAAGTGATCAAAGAATTTCATAAACTAAAAAGAAGAGAGAAGATGAAACATAGACTTGGGTTTCCTAGGAACCTGTTTCAACCCAGCCATCTCTCCTACTTAGAGACCTGCACCCACCAACTGGGAGAAGGAATAACAACTATCTTGTACCTGGAAAATCATGGAAAGGAGGAATCTTGGAGAAATTCCAACTTGCTTCAAGCTCTTAAATTTTTTGGCAGATGTATTTTGAAGTTGTCTTGAAAACTGATGAATTGATCTAAAATATATTGAGGCCCCCATGTCCTAAAGCACCGGAAAGACCATAACGTTTACAGTACTGGAACCAGTAACATCGAATATTCTCTTTTAAGCTGGAGGAGGAAATAGGTCCATGGTAGAGTGTGTGCTTAGTGCACACTAGGCCCTTGGTTCAACCCCCAGCACAACAGTAACAACAATAAATAAAACAATCTAGGATCTTCTTTATCAATGATAATTAGCATTTGTCGTTCTCTGTGGGTGGGTACCCCTTATACTATAATATCCTAGAGGGTGTCAGACAGTATAATACAAGGAGTGAAAACCAATTTCCGTAACTTATGTGTGGGAGAGACTTAAAGAGGACAAGGTGGAACTGGCCATAAAGACTACTGAGACAGGGGTTCAATCACTGTTAGAACGAGCTCTTTCTCTTATATAATCTGCTCATTCACTGGTGGGGAAACTCAGCCTCCAGCATGCTACATGGTTCCAATGAATGAAAGGGAACTTCTCTGTCTACTTTAAAGAAATGGTAGAGTGGGTTGTAATGTCAGCACACTGGAGACTGAAGCAGGAAAATCACAAAGCTCCAGGCCATCCTCACCTACATAGTGGGTTCCAAGATACTTTGGGCTCACACAGTGACCCTATCTCAAAAAAAATTCTGAGGATTCTGGTGATCATATCTTGTATCACATGCTGCCTCACCATGGCTGACATGGGGTGAGGTCCCACAACGAGCCTAGCTTGGACAGCACACCCATCTTTCTAGGCAGATGTGTTAGAACTGTCTCTTAAAGAAAGAAGCTGTCAGAATCACCACTTACCTTATACCCTTATCAGTTTTCAGTGTTGAAAGAAAGCAATTAAGTGGGTGAAAAACAGATGTCTAGTCACAGGGCATTGTAACAAATGAGGGAATGGAAAAGTAAAGCTGGGAAAGGAAAGGTGGTGGGCTTCCATCAGGAGATCAGAAACTCACAAAGGAGGAAATCCATCATGTCAACAACAGGCACCGGTCTGGTTCATGAAGCCACATGGTTTTAAGACCTGTGAAAATGCCCTCCATAATAAGCTACCCTACAGGAGAAATATAGAAATTGGATGATTCTGTGTGAGACTGGCAAAGAATTGAGTAATGTGATGGGCTCCCCTTTGCCCTGCCCCAGGTCTATTTGTAAGTCCCTATTTTCTTGAACTTTCTAAGTCATGTTAGCCTCTTAGAACTTAAGAATATACTGTTCTGCACTTGTTCTTAAAATAGTCCAACTATCCCAACTCTAATTTTCCTAAGAAGAAAGAAACCAAAACAAGCGACTTGCCTTCTCTAATAACAATTTTTAAAAAAATGATGTTGGAACTATGTGGAGAACCCAAATTCTGAGGAATAGCACTCCTGTGCCTAACTTAAATATATTCCATAGATATACATAAAAAATAAGGGGCTCTATCACGTATGCACGTGTTTTAAAAAAGGTTTTTTTAGCAACAGTCATCAGTATTTAGCATGTAGACATTGGCTTCGGTAGTCCATTTGTCCTCTTAGTTGGGGATTCCTTCAATGTCAGCATTCACAGGCACCCTTAATCACGTGGCTTTTCTTTTATTTCTCCTTCTCTGCCCTTCTAGATGATAGATATGATGTACTTTGTCATCATTATGCTGGTGGTACTGATGAGCTTTGGGGTCGCCAGGCAAGCCATCCTCTTTCCCAATGAGGAGCCATCTTGGAAACTGGCCAAGAATATCTTCTACATGCCATACTGGATGATTTATGGGGAAGTGTTTGCAGACCAGATAGACCGTAAGCAAGTTTATGATTCTCATACACCAAAGTCAGGTATTTAACTTTGATTGAGTCACGTCTTTTCCAAGTCCATTTGTTTGTCCTCAATAAATGGCTCAAGATAGAGGACCGATTCCTAGTTTGCTATCTTGGTGGAAACAAACAGTCACTGCAAGTGAATATACTATTTTAGCAAAGTATCCATCAACTGTTTCTTCAGGTATGTCCTTCCTATAATGCAAATGGACATCTAGTAGACCAAAGCTCTCTCTCTCACACACACACACACACACACACACAAATGAACCATTTTAAATGTTATAAGTTTGTGTGCAACTCAAACGCTTAAGGCCAGGTTTTTCATATTTCATTGCTGGGAATGTATTATGTCAAAACTACCCACTCCTACCCTAGTCCTCTGCTTGCTAGGCTTTAGAAAATAAATTCCTTGGACTTGACTTTAGAACAAGTAAACAATTCTCAATTTCATCATTAGAATTCAAGATTAAGGGCAAACATCTGTATGGTATTTTCCTCATGCTAGAAACTATTCCCCAACAGCCTTTCTCATTGTTCAGTGCTATTGAGGCACAGATGAAGCCAGAATTCATTACCAAGAAGTATGGAAAATGCCCGTAGGTCATAGACCGAGTTGTTTGCTGTAAATGCCAGGGTGGAGGGTATCTATATCATAAAGTGATTTAGTGTGGACTAAGAGCCAGAAGCCCCCAGTACCGTTAGCCCGCTAGATACTGAGTCTCTACAACAAACAAGTCCTTTTGTGCAGAGTTGGAGGATAGTCCTGAAGTCTGTTCCAGGATTTTATTTGGACCAAATGTCAGGGCACAGCAGGCATCAGGAAATGACTTGGGGAAGGAAGAGTCAGGGAAGAAGCATGTTTCACTGTGGAGTTGAATCCCAGGAGCAGCTCTTTCTCATTTTCCCTGAGGACTTTAGCTCTGAAAATAACAGCCCTCCAACACTGTTGAATTAACATTTTTCAGAATTTTTTTTCTTTTTCTTTTTTTTTTTTTCTTTTTTGCTGACAGACCAACCATCTGAGCCCTGGACTGTGTATGTGGATTAGGGTCACATAACCACATAGCTTAATAAGAGTGGGAGTAGAGTCTAGTCAGCACCCCACTCTCCCTCCTCATCCTAGGTAGGATGGGGCCTGGGAACACAAGGACAAAACACATCTGAGCTTGGATGTCCTCAGGTTTGTGAAGAGTGTGTGTATCCTGGCAACAGAACACAGCAACACGTCATTTTTCCCCTCCATGATAGATTTTGAACAAATACGCTTCCCTTCTCAAAACACGTTATCTGAAGCTCTGAGGCAAGCAAGATTTTTTGGAACACCTAATTGGAACAAATATTTGTTCCATAAGACTTAGCCAACTTACAGAGGAAGAATTTAGCTCCATCCTCCAGTTGTAATATCTTTGGCTGACAATGCCCGGCCTTCAGAAGGCAGTTTCCCAGGGACAGGAATTTCCTGTTGAGAGCATCCTTTCAAATGGTCCCTACAGGCAAAACAAGATGTAAAAGTCTGTTATGATGCATCTCCTCAGAGACTAAGCATGCTAGTCCACCCCCACCTCCCGCCCCCACCCCCCCCCCAGAAATTGCTTTTCCACTCTGTCACATTATTTTGCCTTTCCAGGTTGTCCCTTTTTCTCCCAGAATGAGATGAAGCCCACATGTGCATTTGAACAACTTGGTGTGGGAGAAAGAGGGAGGGGGAAAGGGAGAGAGAGAAAGGGGGAGGTATGGAGGTGTTTTACAAATGGGATTCTGTGTGTCCCTCTACAAGTGGCCATTTATTGATGTTGTACTATGAACCAAGCCCTAGTGCAACAAATACACCATCTGCTGAATACGAGGACTTAGTATTGCTGTTTTAAAAGAAGGGCTGATTATAGTTTAGAACTTGAAATCTCCCCACCACCCCCAAAGACAGAATAAAGCTGTTTTGTGTGACTGGAGTATGAAAATAGACAAATTTCCCTGCTCTGTGAATTGGATCTGTGGCGCTCTATGTGTGTGAGGATAAATCTTGACCACCCCCAATCCTAAAATATAACTGACCTAGCCTTAGATGGATCCAACCTTCTTGAGACCCTGCCCCTCTCCCTCTGTGATCTTCTGAAGTTGGCTGCGATGGCGGACTCTGTTCTAAGCTAAATCAGCCAGTTTTCTGTCTAGAGTGCTAAAGAGTATCTGTCCTTTCTCAAATGGATTTAGATGACTGTCCTCAAATCTCAAATAACAGTCGGCCAAGGTCACTGGACGTCACTGTCCTATTAATGACTCAAATGCCTATACTATGGCACCAGGTGGGCCCCATGGAGACTGGATGCCTGCCCCCACCTGCATCTTCAGAACCGCCCAGGAGAACTAGTACCAAACTGTTTGAGAAAGGTACAAATCATTGATGCTGCCCTGCAGTGTGTGGCCCTCTCTCTGTGCCATGTCGAGGTTGGTGTGTAAAGCATGTGTTCAGGCTGATCGGATCTCATACCCAGCCGGACCCGCTGCTCTCCCATGGTCTACCAAACCCTTGCTGTGGATGTGCCCCGTGTGGCCCTTCCCCAGTGCTCTCACCACACACCCCAGATGACTCATCCTAACGTGATGCACGTGCTGACTCCATAGCTAACTCTGGTTGTTTTGACTTCTCCGTTGCTGGACCCATTTCATGTTGGGGGAAATTATCTCTTTCTTAACGGGGACCGTTTGGTGTGAATATGCAACGGGGCCCCCAGAAAGTGTTCCTCGCACCAGTGTCACACCTCAGAATGGAGGACAGCTATAATGCCCTCACTTCTGGGAGACAGTGTTCCCTAACTGTAGCTTTTTTTGATATGTATTTTATCTGTGTCCCTGTTATTTTAGACAGAGATTACCTGAAAATCCAAAGATTATAGGCTGAGACCTGTAAGGTTACTTTCCAAATGTGCTTAAAAACTTAAGAGAGAAAAATGGAAACCCATTTTTAAAAATCACATAACAAGTACATTTGCCTTGTAAGCCATAATGAACTAACATGAATGATAGACCAGCCTTAGTCTAAATTATCTGAGAGGACAGAGTTTGGTTTCTGGCTGGGAAGCAGAGGAGTGCAAGAATGTGATTAGAAGATAATGAAAATGAAGAGGGGACCACAGGCATTTTCACCCTGGAGGCTGGGCCTCATGCTGCTCTGCTTCATGTAAACTGAACTTGCTGTTGCTGACTAGTTCGTCGGTCGGTTGGTATTTGGTTTTATTTTACTTGGTTGTTGTTGTCGTTATTGTTCAGATAATCAGTAATTGACTGTAGCTCAATGTCAGGGCATTTGTCTTGCCCATAGGATGCTCTGGGTTCAATACCCAGTGCCACAAAACAATTAATTCATTCCATACATCAAATACACCAATACCAACTTCAACATTCTTCTGGGAGGTCTCGTTGAGGTGACCCATACTGCATTGCCTCTGAGGGTTAGCCACCCCCACGGGTGCTTGCCTGGAAAACGCATTTAAAGAGCAGAAGAACAACAGAATAAATTCCCAGCAGTATCCACACCAAGGCTGGAGCAAAATTAAACCTGAATGGCTTTTCCTGAGCCCGGAGATCTGGTTGGTGGGTGGGGTGCTTGAAAGTTCACCTTGCTTAGCAGAGGAGACAGGGTGACTCCATGTGCTCTAGGCTCCCGCTGGATGGGGCTGCTTCTTACTCACAGGGAGGGCATCCTGCTGTATCTTCACATTCCCCAGGCTGTACTGAGGCAGGAGAGAGATGAATCATGCTCTTGAATGCATTAAATACGCGTCTAAATTTAGGCCTCCTTTCTGCCTCTCTGGGTATTTTTACAAGTTTAGATAGTACTGTGAAAGCAGAATGTCCAGGACTCGCTTTCTACCATGACAGCTTAATATTACCTAGCCGTTTCCACTCTGAATTAAATATCCAATCTTCTTAGTGGATGGGTCATTTTTTTTCTTACTGCCTGGGGCTTTTTTGTCTGAAATTAATAGGTAATCTGAAGAAGGAGGGGTTTTTTGTTATTGTTGTTTTGATTGATTGACCGAATACAACATTTTGCTGTTTAAATAACCCTTGCTCTTTGGCATCCCGGCTGTCTTTGTGGCTTTGATTCAAACAAGGGTCTAAGGGTCTAGTGTATGTGTGGAAAGCTCAAGTGCTGTCCTGAATTTCTTTTCAATTAGTGTCTACTTGGGTGTGGAAGTAGGACAGCTTGGGCGTCTGGAACATACTTGCGACGGTGGAGCCCGAAGCTCGCGGAGCAGGGAGGATGGCGAGCAGCGTGCATCTCGGTCATCCCCTCCAGTTCTCAGAGCTCAGCCTCTGTTCAGTGCTTCACACTGACCTCTGATGGCTTCAGAGCACACTGAGGCCTAACCGCTAGAGCAGGGGAGGCCTTGCCAACCAGGAAATGGACTCTGCGAAAGAAAAGCTTGGGCCGGTGCCCACTTTGCGGGAAAGGGGAATTGTTTTATTAGGTTTCATTAGGCTTCGTGAGGAAGCTGGCCGGTACAGGGCTGTCTCCGAAAAAGTCAGCTCACACTTTAAAGAACGTCCACATGACTTGTCTACTAATACAAACTTGGCCTTGTGAGAGCTCCAGAGAACAGAGCTGTCTCTGCATTAGGGCCACTGCTGGGACCTGTATGTATTCCACTATCATGACGTGCACTGTAATTTACTCACAGGTTGGCCTCTACTTCGAGCCCATTCTTCATTCAAAGGGTATTTTATTTTCTGTCTACGAGCTGAAAAGCAAAGCCTGGAGATAAACATGAAAGAGACATTGCCTTCTAGGAGCTTACAGTTCAGAAGGGGCAAGCTGCCATTGACAGCCTATGTATTGAGGCGAAGCTCGGAGAGGAAGTCAGCCAGTTCCACATGGAGTAGGAGCACGGGTGTAATGGATGAGGCCTTGCAGAGAAGAAGGCGGAGCAGAGCCCTGAAATATGAGCAGATGTGTGCTAAGCAGATGGGAGCAGGGGGTGTGAAGAAAGAATAGCATTCCAAACTGAGACCCAGAG